AAGAGAGAATTGCCCAGGATATCAGCATGTGCCTTGAAGCAAAGAAGAGTTGTTTCACCTTGAGTTGTATGTATCTGTTTCCTAAGGCTACAGCAGGCAGCATGTGGTATACCTCATAACATACATTACTCCTCAGGTGCAGGATGTATTACCTCATTAGCTAGAGTCAGTTATTAGAATAGTAATAGTATGTTACAGCTCCCAACAGTAACGGATTATCAGCATAGCACTGAATTTAATTATCTATCTTGCAAAAGCTGCTTAAATGCTAACCAGTGGCCAGCATGGGCAGATACTGCCTTTATTTGATCAGTGCTCTTGTATCAAACATAGAGCCCTTTTTTATTTGACCTTTTCCTTCCTTTTTCATTCTTTCCTTCCAGAATTTTCTGGCAACACATAAGGTTTTAAAAGGTCCCCATCTAACTGCAATATCTTATTTCCTTCTTGAAAATTCTGAGTGTTTTAACATCAAGTCACTCCTGAGATTAATCTAAGTGAGGGAGGTGGCAAAACATCTATTTTCCAGTTTTCCCTGTACACTGTGTTGGTCTCACTGTTTTGTGGGTAGTGCATTTGCCAGTAAAACAAACAGGCAGCCAAGAGCAGACAAGCAAAATGTTCAGAGTGTAAAAGGAAGGAAGGCAGCCTGCAAGTTTCACAGCCATCTTCTCAGGCCCACCATCAAATTTACGGAGGAGCAGTATGTCCTTTGGGCTGTTTATTAATTCTGGAGAATATCTGCAAGAAGATCTATCAGAAAGCTGTTTTAATTAAGAACCCCAAACAATTAAGAATCCCCTCTTCTGGTTCATGGCTGCCTCTTGTCCATTTCTGTGAAATGCTGTACTCAGACACAAAACAGTTTCTCTGCACAGCATGTCCTAAACTTGGAAAAAAACATAGCACCCCTCCCTTCTGTGCACTTTATGATCAGATAGTTTAAGGTTCCGAAATGCCTCCATGTTCCAGACAAGGAGTGAGCAGGGAGTAAGTATCTTACCTCCTCCAAGTAAATGTTATCAATGTCATACGGAGTTCTGACAGATTCCACCATCCAGCTCTCAGGGGTATTTAGATTCAGAGTAAACAGCGGGGACTGAGGCATATCTAGGAATTTGGCAATTGGACCAGGAGCAAAGTTGTCATCTGCTGTGAAAGAAATCTCAGGCTCCAACACATAGCGATAAAAGCTGAAATTCCAAACAGAAAGATACTGGAATGATTTACTGTCATATTTTGTAAGTCATTAACTCTCACTGGCAAGTCATTTTTCTATAACAAGTTTCAAGAAGCTGGCAGTCCACTACTGGACTTTTATTTATAGGATCTTTGCCAAAGGAATCACACTTAACCCAGTGGTATTTGTAAATCAAAAGCATCTCTTGAAGTCTCCACCACTTTACCAGATATATCATTTTATTTTAGGAGACTCTTATTAAAACTTAATAGCTATAACAGTTTAATTAGAACATGGAAGATTTTTTTTCATTTAAATATTTTTAATTTAAAAATGTTTTTTGTCAATATCAAAATGCTTAAAAATGTTGTACTGACTGACAAATTCCCATAAAAATACTTAGAAGTGAAAAATTCTGTTGGAAAATGGGTATATTTTTGTATTTTTACAAGCTGGAAAATAACTCTTTCTGAATTTTTCTTTATTAAATTTCATTTTTGTTTCCATATCTCTTGACACATTATGTTATATAATGCTCTATGAATAGATCAAAATCAAACATTACAATAGCTGTCTTTTATTTTTTAAATCAGAATGAAAACAAGATTCAAATTATTTTCCACAAAATGGAAATTTTAACTTTCAGTCAGTTTTAATCTTTATACAGAATCATCAACTGAACCACTGTGATACAGACAATTGTTCCAGAGTCTGAAATATGCAACAGCAGAGGCAGGCATCATAAACACTTTGTTTTAGTTCACTCTAGGCAGATAAAAGGAATAAAATCTGTTGGGATCTTTTTGTTTTGCAGTATAACTATAGGCCAGTCTGTAACATTCTTCTTGTATTCACATAATTGGAAGTGTTAATTTAGAGTGGCGTATGCAAGTTCTGCAAACATCACAAACCAACTTCAGCTGAAACATCCATTTAAAAGAATACCACACTCTCTATTTCTCTGACATACATAAAAGAAACTACTTGGCACCAACAATTTCTCACATCACCACCCAAAAGGCAATCTGGAAACACATGGATGAAAGTCATGTTATAAGCTCCAAGCAAGGTGAACATCACTCTCCAAGGTACCGGTCTATGTGCATCTGTGTATAACAGACTCAACATGGTCAAGTTACCATGTGAAGCTACACAACTCAAACCAAATTGATGGCTACCTGTAAGGTACACTTCCCAGTGGAGGGCTGCCACATGTAGGATGTTCTCAGGTGTGAGAGCTCAACACATTTGCAAGTGAGACACTGGACAGCATATGTGCAAATAAATTAATCACTGCACAGCAAGGACATGGAACTTTGTTTTGCTTTTCTAATTCTTTTTGGTTTAATAGAGAATATGGCAGACCACTGTAATGATCTTGGTGGGCCACATACTTCTAACAGCTTGAAGCATGCACAGCACACCAGAGTTATGGAGCCTTATAATAAAACTGCATGAACACCTGGGTTAAGGCAAGATTTTTGGTGAAGATTGGCTATGAGGGTCTTTCCTGATTCAAGAATTCTATTTTTATGTCTTGTAAACATTCACCGTATCACCTCTGTCTTATATGCAATGTTTACTATCATATGTCTCCTTTCTCTACTCTGGCATGGAGTTCCTTACCTCTTCAGAGGCATGTCAGAAAGTTTAGACTGGCAGTTCATAAAAACTCTTAGATTCATATTTATCAGTTGATTCAGAACCTAGAGAGAGAGAGAGAGAGAACACATTTTTTTTTAACAAATAAAGCTTTAGGGGAGTATTTAACATAATCCCCCTTTTCAACACTGCTCCCACCTAATTTTATTTAATTGGTGTAATTATCTGTTTCACTGTATTTTTACCCATGATTTGGGGATATTCCAAAAAGTGGGCAAGATGCAGACTTAAAAATATTGTCTGTAGAACTAAACTGGTCTACAATGATCAAACAACAAAATGCTTACAAGCAGCCTTACCATGACCCATTTATTGTTTATTATGTAGTACTATTCATTTTTCATTAACATGCTAAAGAAACTTTTCTGCATTCTATCAAAGGGACTCTTGTGCAAGTATCTGGAGATGCAAGTCTAATTTCATCCATGAAAACAGAAAAATTCTGTCTAAATATGGATTCAAATTTTTGAAGTTAGGCTTCCAATCGGAAGGCTGGTCTGACATTAAAGAAATGGTCTAGCTTGCTAATTAAGAGATAAATGACTGAAGTGTAAACAATTCTATGCTTTGCATATCAGACAGGCTTGCAATCCAAGAATTCAAAAGAAATTTACAAATATTTATTCACTGAAGACTCACAGCTACTCTGTGAAACTGTCTGTAACACATTTAAATAATCCAAAAAACTACCAAACAAATAATTTTAAACTGATTTTAATGTCTCTTAATTGCCACTTAGTGCAATACAAGACTGTATACAGACCAAAAGTAATGGAGCAAGCCTTTGAGCATCTCTGGTAACAGGGTCAACGATAGCCACCACATCGAAGTATGTCTCTCCTTCCTTTGGTCTCAGTTTAACTGCACTAAACAAAGAAAGAGTGACAACAATCTAGATTTAAAGAAGCCTTTTTAAATTAACGGATTTACAGAGAAAGCCTTTGTTGTCCCTCTCACTTCAAAATGATATATTATGTGAGTAAAAATGACAGCAATGATGTCAAATCAGGAAGGTTATGCATGTACTCAAATAAAACCATTTTTAATCACCTGGAGCTGGGTGAGCCAAAGGGAGAACACACATCAGCCATTTGCTTTTTGTAGCCAAATACTCTTATGAAATGTCTACCTTGTGTTTTGTGAAGCCCAAAACATTACTGCCATGTCCTGAGAACATTTTAGGATTTTTCTGTTGCTACACAGGTGTACTCAGAAGCCTACTGAGATATAAACCTAAGATTATGTAGAAGAAACATATTCAATAAATGCAAGCATCAACTTTGTACCTGTATCTCTCTTCAAAAAAATGGTATTCGATCCTTGCTTCTCCTTTTGGCTGAGCTGACAGAAGGGCATCAACCTTCATTACCAAATCGCTTGCCCTGGAAGAAAGAAGGTTTACAAATACTCTGAATAGTTATGTATTTCACTCTGTATTAATGCAGACTGATAGACACAAAATAAGGGCCAGATTATAATATGAGATTATATTTTTTACTGGCTGTGAAAAAAGATTCTTGACTGCTACATCCATGCAGAATAGCACATTTTTTAAGACACACTGTGGTTTGAAAAAGCAACAGGTTTAGGATTTTTTACATGGAGTATAGGTTTCATCATACTCCTCCCTAACCAGGAAGATCACTAGGTAACTCTCATGAAGCTCTGAAGATGTTAAACATGTATAAACTTCATCATCTGCAAAAACTGATTAGTGACCCATCTTCATCACTCCACAATGTGTAACATGGCTTAAGCAGTGCAAAACAGATTTAATTTCAAGGGGCTGAATGTGATGCCTCCAGAGCTTCTCTCAGTAGGAGATTCAAACCCGCACCTCAGTACGCTCACTGGGCTCCCTTTTACACTACAATTCTCTTAGGGAGCTGGAAGCAATCCCATGCATAGAACAAATTTAAAATGCATCGGATTAGCACAATCAGTGAGAAATCACTGTTGGCAATTATTTTCTTTTTAATATTCCCCTGAACAAATAATGTAATATTGAGTGTGTTATAAATTTTCAATTATTAAAAACTTCTTGTAAGCTTAAATTCTGTGGGAGCAGATTAGAAATCTGCAGAACTGAACAATGAAGATGAGTTGCATGTTACAGCAGTGCCAGCTAGTGATGGCCTGTCAGCTCTAATACGAGTCTGCCAACTCTTCCATTATTAACTCTTGAGTTTCATGGATTTACAGCAACAGCTGCTCAAAGTATTCATAACAAGGCCATAAACCTGATTAAATCTGCCAAATTCTAGCATGTTTTCTAACCTAGAATGCAGTTTAACTCCCAAGCTTTTCAGGAAGCTGGGCCTCTGCTTCCCAGGCCCTAGATTCAGCATTGTCCAAACACAGCCCATGTCTTCTTCTCAGTCCTCCTATTGGTATAGAGGTCTCAGTCCTCCTCCCTTTTCCTTTTTTGTTGAGAAGTATGAGCATGGGGATAAAAGAATGAACATATAACACTTAACATCCATTGTTGGAGAATTTTGGTGTGTAAAAAGAATGAAGCTCTTTGTACTTAATCTGTTTGACCATATGAAAAGGTATGCTGTTGACATGTAAAAAGCAGCAGATTGTCATAGGAAGATAATTATGTTCTGCAAGCTGTACAAGCTATGTGAATGGCTTAGAGAAGAGATCCTATACACTTTGTTAGAAGCTCAAATGATAAAACAGAACCATGTGTAGGTTCCAGATTCGTGTGGAAACACAGTTGAATTGTTTTGAGCTTGAAGAGGATAGTTTTAAAATTATGCTATTTTTGAGTGGTATGGATCAGGATGTCCATCTCTCTCTTGCTCTCTCTCTTCCACTTCCACCTGCTTTTCCTAACATTTGCCCCTTAAAAAGCTGAATAACAAAGAATGAATTATGTTTTAAAAACAGCACCTGCTCTTATATTGAAAGTAAATTTATTATTAAAATATGCATTATGCATCTGTATTACTCAATAAATATTAATCAAAGATTAACTAAACCACCAACTGCTCTTGAAAACATATTCCTCATAGCATCTTTTATCCCCCTTTTCAACCTCCCGCTCCTGTTTTTAAATATCTACTGGAGTGATCCTATAGAGCGCACACAGTGTGTAAAAACCTAACCAGAGAGGAACAGGGTTTTCAGATTTAAAGGGTATAAAAACAACTTTTGATCTTAAAAGTTAAAAAAGCAAGAGTTGCCAGATATTATGTGAAGCTAGGCTTCTCATGTTTAATTTATGGAAATGGTAATCCAGGAAGCATCTCTGGGAGCAAATTTATTAGTATGCAGGAATTTTAATGATTGAATCCCTAACACAGGCCACAGTAGCAACTAGCAGAGACATTTTTAGCCACATAAGAAATGGCTTGACATAATCATGAACAAGGAGAACCCATGTACATTTTATTCCACCATATTCTTGTCATCTCTCACCCCATTCCACTATCACTAAGGTAAAACCTTTCCTAAAGCTGAAATCCTCATCTAATAAAAAATGTGCTGCACACCCAAGTCACTCAGCTTCCTGTTCAAATGATTATTTCAGTGATCCAACCTTTGTGGCTATTTGTTTTACATTCATTTCAAATATTTATTTTGACATGAGGTTCCCTGGATTACAGAGAGCTGTAAAAGCTGATTCTACTCCACATAGCAGCTTAAAAAGTGTTTTTTCCCTCCAAGTTATTCCTTTGAATATTCTAACTGGCCCATACATGGTGGGTTGTTTACACTCTCTCTCCAATGTGAACCTTGTAAAATCTAGACCAGGGGTTCTCAATCCCTGGGCTGTGGCCTGGTGCTGGGCTGCAGCGGGTCAGCTGCTGGACTGGAAGTGGCCATGGACCAGCAAACTGCGGTCCCCCCGCCGCCAGAGCTGGGCGGAGAGGCTGTGGATTCTTGTACAGGGCCTGTGGCAGCGCAGGGTTTGGCCCATCTCCCGGCTCGGGGGGGTGGGGGCATCCTTACCTGGCTGCCGGCTGGAAATTCTAGCTGCAGTTGGCTGTGACTGCTGGGCCGTGGTTTGCTGGGCTGCGGCATAAAAAACTTTGAGAACCCCTGATCTAGACAATAGTCTGCTTGCATTTCTAGTTCCACATTACATAAGGCCATGTTATGGTGCAGCCCTGCTTTCAAACTTTCAGTTCTTTTTATATTCACTTACAGATCCTCCTCTACCCCCAACTGCTGAATATGGGATTTGATTTTCTGTCCTGATGTCTTTAATATAATATTCTCCAAGAGGTGGAAGTCATCTTGATTGAACATCTCACCATCTTCCAAGGGACCAATAATCTATGAAAAATACAGATACAGGGTTACTAGGTAAGTGTTGCATTTAAATTTGAAAAAAAGAAAAAACAAATAAACAAAAAATAATTGGAACTTGATCCACAGGGTGCCAAGTGTCCTTGGCTCACAGGGTACTAAATACCTGTGTTAACAGGTCAACATTTTGCACAAACAAGACGTTTAGATACACAAAATATATACTCTTAATAGCTACTGAGCAGTTGGTCAGCAAGACACACATTACACAGAGCAAACTCTTGATGGTACAATGGAATTCCAGACCAAAATCCAACTGCACAGAAAACATCATATGCTGGAGAAATGAGATTTGCCAAATATATTAGAGTTGTGTAGGCAATTCTAACTAAATTGCTAATATCAGGAACAAAATATTATGACTCATCATGCAGAATGTTTAACTACATGTCAAGGAATGTGGAACACTAAAATATGCAATACTCAGTGGCAACTGCTTCTATTTAAAGTCCAAAACTAATTGCTGTGAACAACTGGGCTCCCCAGTTGGGAGCAAAGTATTGCAATTAGAGTATATGTTTAAGTCAAATAGTGCTAGTGTAAGGTGCTGGATGGAGACCTCTGGATATGGACACCATCTATCCCAGCCGTCTCCAACCTTTTTAAATATGAGATCACTGTTGGAATTTAAAAGCAACCCAAGATCTACTGCGCTTCTTCCCTTCCTCCCAGCAGGTAAGTCTGTGGGCAGGGAAGGGGGAGGCAGATGGAGAAAAAATTATTTGGGGGCATGCCCCCCCCAAGCAGGTAAGTCTGTGGGGGAAGCAACAGGGGAAGGGGAAAGGGCCATGGGGGGGCACCAGTCCATGTGTGTGGGGCAGGGCAGATCAAGGCCCCAGTCCTAGCCCCACTCCCTCCCTCACCGCTGGGGCCTCAATCTGCCCCACCCCACAACAGCGGTGAGGGAGGGAGTAGGGCTGGAGCAGGGGCAGGCCCTGCAGCTGGGGCACAGTGGGATGGAGCCACGAGTGGCTCGTTCGGAGAGCATAGGGAGCAGGAGGCACGTACCCCAGGAGGGCACAGGGGGTGTGTGCTCCTGGATCTTCAGGTGGGGTGGGGTGGGGCAGGCTACAGCTGCGGGCTGGGCGCTTCCTGGCTGCTCTAAGGCCAAGCAGCAGCAGCACTGGGAGCAGGGCTATGGGGGGTGCTGCAGCCACCCAAAATGTTGCTGTAGTTCCCCCAACCCCCACTCCCAGGGCTGCCACCACCCACTCTGAGCACAGCATGGGCTAGCCCCACCCTGCCAGGAACAGCCAGCACAGCCTTCCTGTTCCCCGCCCCCCCATCAAGGGCATGGGGGCTGTGTACCCGGGATCTGCACGGGGCAGGGTGGCTGCTGCTGCGGGCTGGGATGGTGCACCATGCTGTTCCTGGTGGAGGCTGGGCTGCACTGTGCTTGGGGCGGGCGGCAGTGCTGCGAGCAGGGTTTGAGAGGGGTAACAGTGAATTTTTGGGTGGCTGCAGCCCTCACTCTCCCCCCATAGCCCCACTCCCAGTGCTGCCACCGCCCGGGCCGAGGGCAGCGCAGGCCAGCTTCCCACCAGGAAGAGCCCAGCCCTAACCCACAGCTGCAGGCCGCCCTGCCCCGCCCTGCATGCAGATCCAGGGGCACACGCCCCCATGGCCTCCCAGGCTGTGTGCCTCCACCTCCCTGTGCACCCCTGGACAAGCCACCCGCAGCTCTGTCCCACCCTGCCCTGGTTGCAGGGCCTGCCCCTGCTCCAGCTCCACTCCCTCGCTGCTGCTACAGTCGCCCGTGCTGCCCCGTGTCTGGGGGGGCCACTTGCCCCCCTGATCTGTGCACAGCGGAGGCGGCTGCCGTTGTGGGCTGGGCTTTGCACCCGAAGCCCCGCTGCAGCTGGCCTGGGAGCAGCCAAATACCACAAGTCCTGCCACTGGGCTGAGCCGTACCTGCAAGTGGCCAGCTGCAGTGGGGCCTGAGGCACAACAGCAGCCGCCTCTGCCCCGCGCAGAGATGGGGAGAGAGGCATGTGCCCCCAAGGCCTCCACCAGGGTGTGCCCAGCAGTGGGAGCTTCCCCTACTCCTGGATGACCTCCCGAGCTCCAATCCTTCCACCACCACCCAGGCTGGGGCCCCATTTACCTTCCCCTGCTCCTGGCTGGGCCGCACCATCCCTCCCTTACCGCTGGGTGGGGTGTGTGTGCACGCACCACTTCTCTCTCCCGATGCCAGATGCAGCAGCAAATGTTGCATCTGTCCAGCAAATCTGCCTCAGCTTTGAGCCAGAGTTAGTTTCTCAGCAGTTGGAGGGTAGTTTGAGCTATGTTACCCCTTTAGCCCTGGTAGTCCAATTAATGTCAACAGTGATCATGCTTTTTGTGCACCTGAAACTACTGACTACAGCCAAAAACTTCCCATAGATCAAAGAGCCATCAGATGATAGGAACTTTTGGCCGCTGTCAAGCTGAACATAAACCAGAGACTTCAACGGGAAAGATTCTGCCATCCATTACCAGACCTCTATGACAAAGTTCCCCTTGATGGCCACATTTTGAATACATCGCTCAAGCTGCTAAATGAGCTCACCCTTCCATTGCTGATCACTGCTCTCTGTCCTTTCTTCAGCTTCAAAACATCTCTGCAGTACACAGCATGAGACAGAACAAAATCTACTTTGGGAGATTCAAAGGCATCTTTGAAACTATTTATATCCATACCCTGAAAGAGAAAAGTAATAATTAGTCTCAGACCTGGGATCAATAGAGACCAAATAAAATCCAGAGGCCACTGACAGATGTTGAACTAAGAGAGCAATGTGATCCAATCCCTCATCCCAACAATTGCGCCTCCTGCCCTGTCACATGGACATGACAGGACACACAACTGCAATCCTGGGGCCCCCACACACCAGCGAGTTTAAACCTGCACACAGGGCAGCCTTGCAGAGCTGCTCAATGCACAGTTTTAAACCTACAGAGCAGAGGAGGCTCGTAGTCTTCCCCAACCTGGTACCTGCCAAGCTGCACAGGGGGCAGTGCATACTGGGCTGCTCTGCTGCGCAGGTGTATACTTCCCAGCTGGGGGGAGCCTATCACCTCCCCTGGCCTGTAAAGTCCAGTACTGCAGCCTAGCAGAGGACTGTACCACTGGGTTTAACATGCCACATGTGCAAATTAATGTGCAATACAAACCAGGAAAAAAGCTGTAAACTGGAGGTCATCCTAAATGTCTCAGGTTTTAGCCCAGATCAAAATACAAGTGGCACAGTCATTTACATAGGTAGCCCTTCAAGCTGTATTGCTGCCCCTCTGCCAGTAGGTAGAAGGGAAAGCATGTGACCAGACAGGCTTGTCCCTTGAATGACTTATAGACACACATCATTGACTGGGAGAGGAGGAGTGTTAGCACATTTTATCTTGTATACTTCACAGGTACTTGAAGCAGGACAATGGACCCATTGGTCCATTGGCTGGTTTGTATCCTGCATTAATTTAAACCTGGGCTGCTACTACTCAGCAGGTACATCTACAAGTGAAATTAAGATGAAGCAATAAACTCCGGATTTCATGGATTTACAGCAACAGCTGTTTTGAGTCAGTTTAAACTGCTTCTGAGCGCAGCATCTATATATGCACCCAGAGGAGCAGCAATTTGAATTGGGGCAGGGCAAACCTGGGTGGGCAGGGGGTATGGGACATGGGGAGGAAGGGTGCAGCTCCAGGTGGTGGCATCGGGAGGGGGGTGGGGGCTGGTTGGGACACGAGGGTTCTGACCCTGCAGAGCTGGGCTAGGCAGCAGTGTGGAGTCTGGCCCCTGCCTAGTCATCATCTACGTGTTTATTTTAGCACAGTTAATTACTCTTCCTTAAGACAGTACTGTCCCTTACAGTACTACCTTACAGCAGAGTTCATTAGTTCACTGTGCCCTAACACCAGCGCACACATAGACGGTGATGCCTTACTGTGGAGCTAATTAGTTTACTCTGCAGTAAAGCGCATGTGTAGATGCAATGCAGCAGGTTTAAACCCATGGGTTTAAACTTGTTGATGTGTAGAGCACAAGACTGTAATCCCAGGCTCCATGCACTTTATAGAAAGTAAGTCATCACGGACCAGTCCCTGATGCTGGGCTCCCCACATCAGCAGTCATGCAACTAGGATCTGATTAATTTTATCCGTGATACTCAAAATTGCTCATCTTGCCATGCTTGTGTTCCAGTGATGTGTGAAACATTTCTGGGGCTGGTTTACCATTTTATCACACATAAGTTGTTTGCACGTGTGACATTTTATAGCATATGGTACGATTAAAGGTGTTAATCACACCATAAATGTAAAATTTGTCAGGGCCAGACAGGCACTATTTTTAAATGACCTTCACATGTTTCTTAAAAAAACTTCACTAATAAATTTTGCTACAACCTAATCCACAGATTCTTCTTGTCTCCAATCACTTTTCTATTCTGTTGTTAAACCCTGACCTTTTTGCCCGCATCCCCATGATCAGGGGCATGCAATTGCTGTGGGGGAAAAAGCAGCAACACAAATTTATGCCACTGCTTTTTGCCCCAGTGCACACCCCTGTGTGTGAGGTTAGCTCAGCGAAAAATGCTCTGGATGGAGAAGGGAAAGCTGGGGCCAGCACCTGGGCTGGCCTTACCAGGGGTGCTGGGAGCCTCCCAGGGCTCCTGTGGTGGTGATCTGGGCACATGGAGCTAGCAGCTGGAGTGTGGTTCTGGCTGGCCAGGCTCTGGTTCTGGGTGGCACCCTCTGCTGCCATGTGCACTGCTCCACTTTTTTCCAGGTGCTTTTTTTTTTTTTTTTGATACCAGGATTTCCTGGTATCTAAATTTGCCTCCATGCTGCAAACACACAGTATGGAGAACCAAATCACATGACTGAAGTGCGTTCTGTGGCACCTCAAAATGCATGTGCATGCTTGTGTTGACATGGCCTGTCTGTCTTTTTCAAACATCCTCATGACTTGAGATGACAGTGCCTCATTCTTTTCTGCAGTTCCTGCCACTTGGAACATTCATCATGTATTTCTCTATCCTTAGTGGTTTGACAGTTTTTCACATCTCATCAGAAAATGATTTCTATTTTTTCCTATTTCTCTTAAAAAGGGATCAAATTTAAGACACAATCAACTTCATTAAATTGCCAGTAACTTTGAGCATTCATCCTGAATTCCCAACTGACAAGTTTAAGAAAATATTAATTGTTACGGTATTTCTGTTTACACTTTTGGCATCCAAAAACCAAATACATACCAAAAGGGAAATCCAGGATGCCCCAAACATCACCAAGTGCACAAGATAAATTGGAAGGGAAAAACATCCCATCCTCCAGCTATAAATTATGCCAGAGAAAAATATAACAACAGAAGATGAACATTTTCAGATGGCAAATAAAACTGAGAATGGTTTTTCCATCTCATAATCTCTCCTTTGACTTTTTGAAACTTTCTTTTAAAAAGTTTTCATTTTGTATTTAATGCATTAAAGCATTATGAATGATGTATTAAAGTCAATATAAGAATAAAAAATGACTGTACTTTCATAGAAATAAAAAAAAAATTAAGACTACTGGATTTAAAGACATAAAGGAAATAACTGTACTCAGTTAGAAAAATCTTATGGCCTGTTAAGGCCAGGAATTAGAATTTCACTATCTGACATCATTTCACATTTTCTGTGAACACATGGGATTGGAAAATTCTGCTAACACAAAGAAGTGCAGCAAAGCACAGCATCCCACCACAGCAAAAGCCCTCACGTGTACTTACCCCAACAGCAAATTCTGCAATGTCAGCTCCTGCCTCCAATGCCTTTGCTATTTCCTCTTTGGCCATTTTAGTAACGAAATTCTTGGCATTATTCGATGTTTGCGTTTGTAAAGCTGCCCATATAGCCCTGGTGATAAGTGTGTTCTCATTGGATGGCTCTTCACTGGGGTTATTAATCATGCTAATTCGGACATTATTGCTGGATTTCTGTGTTTTAATGAAATGCAAATTAAAACAAGTTCAGAATTCTATGAGTAGAATAAATCTATTATAATAACATTCAATCAGGTAGACAGCAGTACAAGGATACCAGGACTAAGTACAATGAACAACACTAACTTAATTTATTTATTCTTTGTACAGCACAAGCATGCTTGAATTTTTCCAGAGATATGAAGTAAATGTTACTGCCTCAAAAGTCAAATAATAATAGACTCCCCAATTGCTGTATATATTGTATGTATTTTGCATTTTTGCTCTATGCTAAAGTAAAGTCACCTCTGAAATAAAAATTGGCAGATCTAAAGAAAAAAAAAGACAAAACATGAAAAATGTATTTCCCCAACACAAACTGGGAAAAAGAGTTTTGATAGCTAGGTTGTAATTTAGTTGGGATAAACTGGAGCCAATAGTCAATGCATAACAAATAGCCACTTAGGGTATTACTAACTTCAATAAAGATCTCAAAGCTGGCACATCTGTAGCACAGCTGTGGCACATAATACCCTAGTGCAAACACTGACATAGAAGGAAGAGAAGCAGAGCAAAATCATTTTCCTGCTGCTCCTTTTTATGTATTGAGAGAGAGAAATGAAGAAAAAGTGCACCATGCTTGCTTGGAACAGTGATCCATAGTTCTTCAATATTCAATGCAAAATCTAAGTTGTTTCTGACTTCAAAATGAACAATAGTTGAGAAAGTCCAAGGTCTGCCTTCTCATCACAAACAGAAAATGTTTCCCTCCTCACTTTAACATTTGTATTGAGTAACTGGATGGCTTTGATCAGTGCACCCTGAAATATATGTATAATAAGGCTGAGTTACAGGATAAAATTTCAAAATTCTTGGGGGGGAGGAGAGGGGCAGTGCCATTAAAGACTACTGTAATGATCCTGGAACTGAACATTCCCCTTAAGCCTTGGAAAAACAAGGTTTCATACCCTACAAGGCATAGTGTTAAACTCATCTGTTTTTTTCAGGCTTTTGCTGGAGGAGGAAATTGGAAAGAACTGTTACAGAGAAATCTAAACAGACTTAATATTTCTCAATTTGTTTTTGTAGCATGTACAGCTGGATGCCCAGAGAGCAAAAGAAAAAAGTATATCCATTTAAACAAGCTTAATACTTGCTCATTTGAATGTGCAATTTTGTGAGCAGGTAATGTACTGAAACATATCAGAATCCTGCCAAAGTGCTTCTCCTGTGAGCAGAAATATTACCTACCTGATGCTTGATAGCATCATACAACAATTGTCTCCCAGAAGCTTTATCAAAATCTCCAACGATCCAAAAAGTAACTGGTCTAACAAAAGAATCATCTGTAAAAGGATAACAAAAGAACAATTTAGAAAAAAGGCCAGCTCTTGAGTATTTTTACAGTGGCATTACGCTGGAAAAAGCACACATACATGCATGGGTTTAAGAAACTAAAGAGCACAAGGGGAAAAAGCAGATGAAGCAAAAGAGTGAGAGTGACAGCATCAAGAATAGTGGCATTACTATTAAAATAAGCTTGATGTTCTTATTTAACCCCCAGGAGCAACATGCAATCTATTTCTGAACTGAATTAATATTTGGCTACCTGTTAAATTTAAAAAAGATAAGGAACGTTAAGAACCTGCAAGTAAATTATAAGTACTAACATGCTTTTTTATTGTTGTTCTGAAGCTGTAGCTCACAATCCATTTTGTACAGAAAAATAATATCAGAGGGCTAAAGGAAACATGCATTTAGTTTCTTTTCCATTACCCACAGGTTCTAAGGCTAATTTTATTCAGCTAACAAAAGTTTCCCAATAGTGTAAGAAAAAAAGAAAGTGCTAAAGCTGAAGTTACCATAGATCTCCTTGGAGGACATTCCTAAACAAAAGGAGAAAGGGAAATAAAAAAGAGTCTAAGAAAAGGAAAACACCATTAATCCCTATAATAAACTCACGAATAGTAGGAAGCGATTACAGCGTAGATGGGAATCCTGAAACCAAGCCACTACAACTACATGCAAGTGAGCAGGCACAAGCTATGCCAGCAACACCATATAAAGCTTTGGGGTTCCTCAAATACATTTTAAGTGAGTGAAGAACAACATATCCAATTCTTAACAGGAATTTAGGAAGACCCTAGGGCCAAACTCCCCCGCATTTTTGCAAATGCCCTGATATTATGAGCTATACGTGACCAGCTACTGATGTTATGTCTTACTACCAAAGCAAAATCAGCAATGCCACTGCATTATCAATGCAGAGGTTTGAATATCAACCACTGAGTCAGCAATGCATAACATTTTCCATTATTTAGTAGAGAAACATGCAACATTATTTCTGTAATCAGTCACTGAATATTCAGTTTCTTGAGTGGCTTCAGGTACAGTAGGCAGTTCAAAACAGTGTGACTCCATGAACAGAAACTATCAATTTAGAAGCTGAGATCAGCAGACAGCAAGGAAAGTGAACATTAAGGTAAGCTAATCTGAGCTAAGGGAATTCTAGCTGTAAATGGGCACAAACAATTCTCTAACAGGTTTGCAAATACTGTTTCATGCATACATATAGTTTCCAGAGGAACATCTGCTCCTCTATCCTCCCAACAACATACCACAAAAGAAAATGTGCTTTCAAACAAGTTTTAAGATGTTAGGTGGCATTTCATTCCTTTTTAATTGTCTAAGTCAGTGGTCAGAAACCTTTTAGGAGGTGCAGACCAAAGTAGCACAGTGTGGTCCAAAGGTGGGCCCCCTCCACTACATTGTTGCCAATCACTGCTCAACCACCACTCCCCCTGCCACTGAAGGCTGGATGAAATCACTCAGTGGGTCACATCAAGTCTGAGGGCCACAGCTAGCCAACCCCCTATGTAAATAGCCCTTTTCTGGTTGTCTGTTTGGCATTTTTTGACACTTAAGTGCCCAGAAGAATGCTATTCCTAGACATATAGCCCTGCACACAGGATGACTGTGTGCAGCCTGGACACATGCCGTAGTATCCAGGGCAGGTAACATCCTTTGAAGCCTAAAAATGTAGTCGACTAAAACCCATGGCTAAGACTGGGAGAGGGAAGCAGGATCTCCTGTCTTTTTTCCCCCCAGTAACTCAGTCACTACTCACCTAGGGAGACAGAGAACCTGGAACTAGGGCACTCGTCACCCAAAGGGGATTTGAAGCTAGGCCCCTCTGACTTCTTAGTACAGCACTCTAATTGCCATACAACAGATCAACCATTATGCACTGCCTTCTCCAGTGCTCCTTTTGAAGCTGGCCCCCTGAGTAGCCAAGATAGGGAGCCATGTGTATGTGGAGCCAGGAGGAAGAAGGCAAGCCAGAAGATGTAAGGCTCAGAGAGGGAGCTGCTGGCCTGTAATGCAGGGGCCCTTGGGTTCTAGCCTGGGACCTTACTCCTAGTGGCTCAACTTTAAGAGGAGCACATAGGTATTTGACTTCCCAGGTGAGGGTCCTAGCCACTCAGCTACTAGGGGCAAGATACAATATCTCTCTTTCTCCCTCTCACATTTCGCTGCCAGTGTGCAAGTCTGGTCTGTGTGTGTATAGTCATCCATGCATACAGGACTATACCATCCAGGAATACAATTCCTCTGTGTGCGTAAGTGCAAAAATGCCATGAAAATAACCAAATCTGGACACTTAGGAAACCAAGAATAAAACAAAATGTCACCCACAGGGCTGGTTTAGTGCTCCAGACAAAGAACACATGGAACTGGTTCAGAAACGACTGAGTGCACCTGAACAAAGGGCTAGGCAAGGGACAGAAGGAGTGCTGGGAACATGTAAAGCTGCACAGGGAGGTGGCACTGTTTGGGCAAAGTACCAATGAGAAAGAGGGAGTTAAATGCACAAAGGGATTGTCCCTTAAACAGAAAGGAAACGCAAGAATTAAAGTAGCAGAAAGTCAAAAAATGTAAAAGTCCAAAATGGGCACAAATGAAGAGGCTGGATAAGCACTGTACAGGGATTTAAAAGTAGCCTCCTAGCACTGGTGCAGGGTGTTGGACCAAATGACCCTTGAGGTCTCTTCCAACCTTATGGTTCCATGACAGCCATCACTTCACCTTTTACAAACTCTTGGCTTTGCACCTATACCTTTGCCACATGTATCTGATGGTCTCCCATTTCATGCTAAGCCTCACCCTCTTCCTGCCTTGTGACCAATTCTAACAGGATTAATTCCTTTCATATCCTCAGCACCAGTTCCCTTTCCTTATTCTCGATCCCCCGAGTGGATCTTCTCTTACACTGTGAACACTTCAGGGAGGGAAACATGCACTATAAGCAATCTAACATTTGCATCACAGTAGCATACAGAAGCCCAAGTCAGGTTTGAAGTCTAGTTGTGTTCAGTGCTGTATGCACAGAGATAGATCTGAGTTTGTATTTTAAATTTCAATTGTTACCTTTCTTTGTTAAGTAGGTCATGCTATTGGCTATAGCAGCTGTCTTATCTTTGGAATCCAAGACAGTAAATCTAGCAAAATCATCCACAAAGAAATTATCTACAGGAAAAGATACAGAACACATTAGGTGCAAAAACATATTATAGTAGTATATAAAAAAAGAAAAAAAAACATTCATTTGATTGGCCTAAGCCAAATACATCCCAATATTTTTATGTTGCTTGTGTATTTGATTTCTTGCTTGTATATTTAATTTCTTCTGCTCCTGCCTAAAATATTAATGAATATGACTTATCTCAGAACACACACCAAGAGCTATCTATCATTCCTGTTATTCAAATTCAACTGAAATAAATGGTTCAGCATTCCATTCAGTTAACTAACCTTGTGTAATAATATGTATTAAAAAGCCATTGTGTCACTACCCTGCAAGCTATTAAAGGAAGACCACCAAAAAAAGGCATCCACAATTGTATTTTAATGTGCACGGTATCTGTGGATTCAACAAAACTGATACTTTAACCATGAAAATTTTTACTGAAATTTGTAGTCTAGCAACCCTATTTCAAAGGGACTGCATCAGTCTCTCTTCAAGAGAGATTCAGGGGTAAAGCAACACTGACTGCAGAGTATTATCTAGTGCATGAGTGTACTATTCTGTAATTTAGCTAGTGCTACCAAGTCTCGCAGTGTTATAAGTCAGAAAACTCCCTGAAGTTCTTTAGATGAAAGTAAATGGACACTACCTTAATTACTTTGAAAAAAATTGTAGATATATGTATCATATATACATATGTGAGCAAGCCTTGTTAATGTGCGCTATCTTTTTGTAGGAGTGTGTTCCACAGGAGAACCCTGTTCTTGTCATCAAATGCTTTTATGGACTGGGTTCACAGCAACTGAAAAATTCCTTACTAGTTGCAGTTAGATCTAAGTACTCTCTGTCAGATGTCAAGATCCTCGAATTGATCCTTGGAACAACATTAGGTTGGTTCATGATATAGTCAACCACATCTTGATCATTGGACAATTCAACCTGAAGGAAGGAAAATAAGTGTAAGTAACTGCTCAGGAACAAAGTTACCATGTGAATTAAGGTAGCTTATTTACATATAGAGCCTGATTTATAATTTTAAATGGGCTCCCAAGACCTTCCAGCAAATCGGGTCTCCCTTTGAAATCACAGTTGAGATATTACATACCAGGTACACAGCTCTCTGGAAGAAGCTAGTGGTTTCTAGGATTTTGTGCATTGTTACAGTTTCTAGGTCATCAGGATCCAGTTGCTCTTTTTGAAAAGGCATTCCATTGAACAGCACAATGGGCAGAGGACCCACCCCTGTCTGCTCATAGTAACTTCTCCCTTCCTGAAATAAAAGGAAAGATCACATATTAGTATATCTCCTCATTACTGCATAGAAGAGTTGTGGTGTCCTCACTGTAACATACTGTGTCTCTACCCAAGTCTAATTTTGAACACTCCTAGAACAGGACACTGGAAGTTTTAATGACTTGCATATATATTCTAAGTATCAATACAGAAAGATTAAATATCTGTTACATACGTTATCTAGCAAAGAGGACTACAAAACAAAAGTGGAAGGTTTAATTCTTCTATATTATCAAAAAATAAGAATATATAATCAAATTGTTTTATTAAACCCAGACACTTATGGGTATTTAAGCTAAAAAAACAACCCCCCACCCTCTTAATCTCTCTCTCTCTCACACACACACACACACACACACACACACACTACGAACAGCAAAATTAGCTAGATATCTATCCATGCTGTAGTAGTGCTGGAATGATGTTGTACCCATGATAGTTCAGAAAAAAATGTGACAGGTATGGATTTCTGTGGGCAATATCTTTCACTGAATCAAGTGCATGGTCAGGAGGCATTCAGACAAGCTTTCCCATACAAGGCACCTTCTTCATATCTGAGAAAAGCAGGCATTACATGAGCCACGAAGTAGGTGGAGTAATAGTTTGGGTTAAACTCCATATGTAAATAAAAACAGTCTGCTGGGCTGTGAAATAGCAGAACAGAGAGATATTAACAGCTAGCAAAGAAGAAGAATGCAGAAGAGAAGACAGCCTGATTAGTGGAAAAGCATGATCATTCAAGAAGGAAGAGGGCGATTAATACCTATGGAGTGCACAGAGATTAGAAGGGATCAGGAAAATTATAATGAGCTATGAAGTCAGTCTAAATCTCTCCCAACCATGCAGATAGTCTAATAAAAGCTATCACCAACAAAAATCCTTGCCTCTAGATATCTGTTTAAACCAAAGTCTCAACAAAATGAGAATGCCCAAGACAAGAATGCCCAACTTGAACTCCAGTCATTCATAAGAAAAAATAAAGTTGGCATTTGTATCAAAGTCTTTATAAAAAGAAACCTAGGTCTTAACAGTCCCATGCAAACACACATTCTCACTATTTTTTTAACCATCTTACTGTCAATTTTTATTACATTCAGCAATCTGGAAGCTAATTCAGTTTCTCTAGACAATTCTCCCAGTACTGCCAAATGAAGTAGGCATAAAATTAACAAAAACTTCTGGCTGCAGCCAGAAGGAGCTATCTCAGGTTGGTGATAAAGCGCTAGGACCCTGCCACCACCTGCACTTTTTTCCCCAGGAACACAAGTAGAGTGCCTGCAGAAACCAACCCTCCACTGATAAATGCTACCAAATCCCCAATTCTAGTGGCTGGATCCAAAGGTTGCATAGCCCATATCTGGCCTATGGGCCATAGATTGCTGACCCCTACCTTAGACCAATTCACTACCATCATCATTCTTCTCTCTGGTGTTGGGAGGTTTTAGCAAGCAGCTGGACGAGGCCTTGTGTTCTGCTACACCTTTCCCAGATTTCTATTTTAGCCTCCAAATTTTCAAAGTACTGTTCTACCAAAAGCTAACAAAATCATCTTCATTATATGCTACCAGTGCTAATCTCCACACTCTTCCAGAACAATTTTCCCAGCAAGCAGCATCAATTACATGGGCCAAGTGTGAGAGAACTTTGGAATGTGAGAAGAGAATATAACTGCCTCCATCAATCCTACTGCAGAATATTGGCTGAAGTAGCCTTCATGGTCTTGCTGCTCCCTCCTGCACAGCCTACAAAATAGGCATAGAAATCCAGCCTGTCATTGCAGGGTGGCTGCACACAAGGCTCCACAAGAGGGCTCTCTGCTCCAGCACACAGGTAGGATCTGCCCTTTCAAGCACTCTGCCCATTCCTTTCGATGATGTTATCCATTAAGAACCATACCACATCTATGTGGTAATTGGTAAGACCTCTCTCGCAGTTCAGAAAGCTCTTTTTCTATTTTATGTTCGGCATTCAGATTCATGTGAAACACTTTTTAGTTGTTTGAGGACTATTCACCATAATAGGTTGTGCCAGAAAAGACACTAATGGAAATAAACATAAAAAAACTACTGAGCTCACACTCGATGTACTGGCTGAAATCCTAAAGGAGATTAAAAAAAAAAAGGCACATGAAAAGAAATAGTGCTTTATCTCACAAAATTCTTACCTTCCTATTTTGGTCATAAGCAGAATCAATTCCCAGAATGCTGTTCACTTCCACATAAGGATATTGCTTCTCAAGAACACTAACTACATGTTCAACCTTCAGTTGATCGCCCGTTTTGACTTTGTTATACATCTAAGAAGGAGATGCAAATACAGTTTTACAGCTATCAATGAATTGTCATCCTCTTCCCACCAGTGTTACATATCATCTGTATTCCAATATGAATATAGAGTCTTAAAGGCTTAAAATATTCTTTACTATGTGTAAGAATCATCTCATGAGTGGTGCTCAAATGTTTCCAATGCACGGGCTGGATGAATGAAATGGCCCAGGCTGTGTCATCCGGCCCATGGGGCTCCCCACAAGTTCAAAACTTCAGCAACAGGGGAGCAGTGGCAGTGTTAATTGCCATAGGGCTCACAGGCCATTAATGGTGACATCATTCCCCATTGCTAAATTTCCAGGCCCACAGAGAGCCCCACAAGCCAGATGACTCAGCTCCACAGGCTCTACTTCAAGCACCACTGATCTACACCAGAAATAATCAACCTTTTTAGACTCAAAGCACCCCTGAATAGACTTGAAACCCCTTGGATAGACTCAAGGCACCCCTTGGAAAATGCCAGCTCTAAGTTTCCACTCTATTTTTGACCACAGCGTAAAGCATTTTTTTGTTGCAAAGAACTCAGAAAGACCACAACTATGGATTTCTACTTCAATTTCTGGGTTTATCTAGTGAATCGTGTTTGGAAACTGTGGCACCCTGGTTGAGAATCACTGACCTACATGTACAAAGCCCAGTGGCGAAACACTACTAGCTCTGAAAATTAACCTGCTATGCCTTAGTTATTCAATGGTAGTGTAAGAGTGATGCTGTAGTTGTGTCTCACAACATCTTATTTTGATAAATCTATCACTGTAATGCTCAACTTCAATAGTGGCTGGAATGGCAGCAATATCTTGTAAATTAAAAATATTTCTAAAACGTGCAATAATGTAAGCCTTAAATTATACAAATCAGAAGAGCTCCCTGTTTCTCTCAGAGTTGTCCTAGTAAATTTCCTTACACATGGAGCCACTGTGATCTGGGGGGCTGACATGCTATTTGTAAAGTGGCAAACTACTTGCTTCCCTTTTGTAAAGGTGCAAAATGATATTTCTTTGACTTGCGACTAATTTCTCTCTCAAAACAAATCTGAGGGGAAAAATACAGTTTTCAAGCCAGTAGCAATTAAAAGAATAAGTGTCTAAATATTATCACATTAGCACAATCTTTCAGACATCAGCTATTCAAACATCTTATTTCTAAATTAACACTTACAGATATTACAGTCTGGAAAGCGTAATTATTATCTGATTCTTGTGCAACATAATTATATGCCCTAAGAAGAGCAACTCCAGCATCCTGTAGTCCATCAATATCTTCTGAGTCATTGACCACAAAAACTAGACCAATCCTGTAAAAAGAAAAAAATTCATTTGTCATGGTCCATGTATATAACTAGATATGTATTTACATCTTCACAGAACAGCAAATGATGATCAGAATCTTAAGAAAGGGTTCTTGCTGGTTGACTAATAAACAGACTCAGATAGCTTTGATTCTGGACTCTTTCTATGGCATATGCCCCAGAATTTATTAATTAATTTTTTTTTCCATTTCTTCAGAAGAATTCATAGACATTAGGGTTGGAAGGGACCTCAGGAGATTATTGAGTGCAGCCCCCTGCCCCAAGGGCAGGAAGTCAGCTAGGGTCAAAGAATCCCACCAAGATAAGCATCCAAATGCTTCTTGAAGAAGTCCAGAGTAGGTGCTTGCACCACCTCTGGAGGGAGCCTATTCCAGGCCTGGGGGCTCAGACAGTAAAGAAGTTTTTCCTTATGTCCAGCCTAAAATGGTCTTGAAAGAGTTTGTGACCATTGGATCTTGTCATCCCTTGGGGCGCTCTGGTGAACAGATGTTCCCACCCCTGATGTACTTATAGGCTGCCACCAGGTCACCCCTGAATCTGAGCTTTCCCAGCTTGAAAGTACTTTGGGCCAGTACTTTGAGTCCATTAAATTGTGATTATTTTGCTCTTCCATTTTTTCCCATTTCTTCCTCACTGCTGTGGGGAGGGGGCTTCTATTCTATTAGACCCTCACTGTAACTAGCAAAAATGTTACTCAAAACGTTTTAAAAGATACAAAGATTTTTTTCATTCAGTGCACCTGTGGGAATGAGACGCATTTAAACTTTCTGCAATGTCCTGGATGGTTAACAAGCCTCTTATAATAATCATGAAAGCATTCAAAACTAAAACAGATGCATCCTTCATGCAAAAATCTTCCTGTAAGATGTTTTATTACCTCAGTGGGATGTGATTACTGAAGAACATCTCAGCCACATTCAGCAGTTCTGCTGTACTCTCATGGGTAGGATCCACTATAAGAACCTGTAGGTAATTACAAATTGAAAGGTTTTTAGCTTATTGTATCACTTTAAAAACAAAGAACAGTACACTAGCTCAAGATTAAGAGACTAGGTTTATTTACATTTTACTGGGCACATCTACACAAGACACTAACTGTGCAGTAGCCTAATAATAGTGTGCAGTAGCACATCACAGCACAAACAATGTTAATATGCTACTGCTCAGTATTATTAGGCTACTGAGCAGTAGCATCAATAAAGAGGTGTTCGCCAGTGTTACTGTGCATTTATTTAGTACTTGATTATACAAATACTAAATTAAATGCACAGGAACCACTGCGCATTAATGAACATGTAAACATGCTCACTGCAGAGGTATTATTCCTTTTTAACTACCACTACAGACAGATTAAACACTAGATCAAATAAAGGATTTAGATGGAACTGAGCACGGTAGTCCAAAACGGATATAAAATCTCCCTGTTCCCACCTAACACTGGATACACTCCATAGGCACCTTAAATATTTCTCCTGTGTGTGTTCCTTGGCACAGGTGAGGCTATGCTCAGGCCCACCCAAGCCCAATCAAGATTTGAGGGGATTCAAACTCACATCCTGCACCTCCCAAAAGTGTCCTGACAACCAAACTACACACTAATGTGGTGAGGGACAGGTGACCCATCCTAATGAAGCTGGGAAATCATACAAAAAATAATTCAGGATTCATGGGACCAGAAGGACAGAGCAGAAAGGGAAACATGAATCTGTAGCTGAGGGGTCAGGGCACCTAACTGAAATGGTGAATCTCCTCGGCTCCAGTCCTTCCTCTAAGGACTGTTTATGCATTTACTATTCAAATATTATAGGATAAAATGAGGTAGTTCAGATACCCTCATCAAAGATGAAGATATGAGTTTGAACCCGTTCAGCCTGAGGTGGATCTAACCACACAAGTCTCCCATTTGCTGAATGAGGGATCTTAACATTAAGTTATTGTATAATCATGTGTACCATCACTTCAGTTGCCTCTTCCTCCGGTCATATTTCAGTAAGAATGCCATGAGTCTTGTTCAATTCCTTGAAAGAACGGTTGTAGTCACCTGTCCTCAGGAGAGGATTCCTGGTTCTGGATTTCAGGTGAATGGAAGCACCTGCCTGCAGCCTGGACTTATATGCCTAAGCTCCAGAGAGGGCAGGCATTTCAGATGCTTCCTGTTGCTTTGCATTTGCTTACTGGCAGCTTTAGCTGTGGGTTTTCTGGATCACCATGGTGAGGCACCTAATTCCCCAAACTCTATAGGAAGCCTAGACACCTTACTGTGTTCTCATTCTATTTTGGGGGAAGCTGCCTAGAAGTTACTGAGAAACCTAATTTGTAGGCACCTAAATCGCTTTTTGTATTCTAGCCCTAAGTGATCTGCCCAGGAAGCCTGAAGTAAACCTGGGAACTGAATGAAAGACCTTAGTCTCAGCCCAGTACCAGCCTGCAGAGTGATTTTAGTCTTACATGTAGCAAAGTGATGTTCCAATGCTAAGATGTAGAAAACTCCTCAGCTAATATGTTTTGCATTTCTTTTTGTCTCAGACCAACATGGCTACTAAATACATCCCTGAAACATGGAAGATGCTGAATTTTAGCCGATTTGGCATTTTAAACTTCATTGCTGAACAACAAGAAAGATTCCCACACCTCCCTCCTTGCCATCTGACACCACCAGAAAAGGAATCCTGCCTGATCTGCACAACAAAGAGCAACTCAAAAAGACACTCATAGACCCAGAGGGAGATACTTCCATCTTCAGCTTCTTCTGTGCAAAAATGAAGTTTATTTCCTACCTATGGGGACTTTTTACCATCTTTAGTTTTCCCTGAGCCTGATGAAGGCTGTGAGAGCCCAAAAGCTTTCAGAAAAATATCATTTCTTAGTTGGTTTAATAAAAAGTATCCTCTCTGAACTAAGAGTTCTAGAGTTTTGCATTTCAGCTAACATGAAGTACTTACAAACCATCAGGGATCCCAGTTTTCTCTGATAAAAAAAAGTCCAAAATTTTGTTTAACCCCCACTGCCAACCCACATTTTTCCATTATTAAAAGGAAACACCACTATATATATAGACATATATTTATAGCTATATATATAGTGCACAGGTACCTATATACACACACACACATATACATACACACACATATATATACATATACACATACATACATGGTGGTGTTTTGTTTTACACATGGAAAAATGTGGATTTTGTTGGGGGGGGTGGTTAATCAGAAAATGTTGGAATTTTTTTTATCAGAGAAAACCAGGATCCTTCCAGATCATGACACTGGAATTCACACAACTGCACTTACCCTGTCAATGAAAAGCAACAATTTGTAGATCTCAGAATGAAAAGGTATCAACATTTGTATTATCTAGCCTGACCTCCTATGAAATATAGGCCATAGAATTTAACCCAGGGATTTAGCCTACAAATCCTAACTGAGTTAGAACATGTTTTTAGCAAAGCACCCAACCTAGATTTAAGACCTGCAAGTGACACGGTATTCACATGTGTAGGTAATTTGGTCCAAAATACTGTACTTTTTATTTCTAGGCAGGTTACTACTTACAAAGTTGTGGAAGTTTTTTCTGATTTGCCTGATCACTCCCGGGAAGGTGGGGCGTAGCAGTTCCTGCACGCTGGAAGGCCAGGAATTGTACCTGCTATCAACTTCAAGGTTGTTGATCCACTAAGAAAAATAGATCATTGCTGATTAAATAAATGCAGGTCCTGTTAGTTTAAATATACGAAGTTTAAACCATTTTAAAACAAAACAATGTATTCAAGAGTTCTAACTTAAGACTGATTAAGCCAGACAAAGAGCAAGTGAATTTGGCTCGTTAAACTTTTAATGTGTAATCATTTGTCTTCCCCCATTATTGTCATATCTTTCATTTTCAGATTTGGCAGTAGGACAAAGAGATTCGTTATCACAGCAAGAAAGAAGAAAAGATTAGTGGGCTGTAGGACATACCAGAGGTCCTGTGCCACTGACTGTCTTGCTAAGGCTTCAGCAAAAGCTTGCTAAACAAGGCCTCAGCTTATAGCAGTCCTCCCGTCTCCTTCACCCTCCTTCTCCCTAGTTTAAAAGTCTTAGCTTCTAACAAAGTTTCCCTGCCAACAATTCTCTTCCCTTTCCGGAAAGGTGATAAGTACCACGTTTCAGTTGGACTGTCAAAAATATAATAAGCAGGTAGTTTCAAAACCTAGCAGCTCACACCTAGAAAATAAGTCAAGTGGCATCTTCTAGGATAGGGAGGTTTAACAATAAGAAAACAACTACCTGGTGCACATACCAAAGTAGTAAAACAAAATAATACACCCACACATGGTTACTTATGTGGTAACTGGTAATTGGCTTTCTTATGTAATAGTTAACATCGAATTGGTTTCTATAGTTATTCTATGTATAAGAAAGATATAAAAAAATGTAACTGCTGTATTGCACTTTGGACATGTAATCCCTGGACCTTTCTCTAATTAGCTAATAGAAATTAATGCCGCTCTATATTCACTGTGTCATTGCTTCAAATTTAACAGCAATGCTTGCAAAAAACCAGGGATAAAGCCAAACTGTACAAGGCCCAACTAACCTAGTCATTTGCAATACCCATCGATGTTATGCTCCTGAAACAGTCTTTAAATGACAAAGCTCATTTTCACAGTAAAAACGCAGCCTTCATGTTCTACAGAGATCCAGGCTCTAAAATAAGCTAGATAAAATATTACACATGCATGACAGGCTATTGAAGTGGCTATTTAGGCTATCTGTCACTGCTAAAATACCTGACTCTTATGAGAAGACATACTTACTGAAATAGCTGGGTTTCTGATATCCACAGCATAGTCTGAATCTGAGGGCTGAATGTTCAGCTTTAAAACATTGTGCAAGGAAAGGCCCTCGATTCCTAATCTGTGTAGTCCCTCCATAACACGAGCTTCATTGCGCAACACATCAATCAAACTAGAAGGGAATACAAAACATACCATAACACTAGGAATGTTACCATAAAATCACCAATTTGCTCTCTAGGACAGTGGTTTTCAACCTGTGGTCTGCAGATCCCTGGGGGTCCACAGAATATGTATAAGGGGTCCACAAAAGAGAACTATGATCAATCAAAAGTATGTGAACACCCACAATTCAAAGGAGTCTGCATCTCCAGTTGAAATTTTTTAGGGGTCCACAAATGAAAGAAGGTTGAAAACCACTGCTCTAGCAGATAGTGTTTAAGGTCCATGAACATTTAAATTATTTATTTACTTATCCTATGTTCTCTGAACTACTTCGAACTGTCTGAAGAACACTAAGAATTGAAGAAATTATCTGGTCCAGATTTGGGTTCAAGATAGCAGTGCTTAAATGAAGACTTTTGCATGGATTTAGCCTTTAGAAACCAATTAGTATGCTTTTTACAGAATGAATTAGTATGCATATGAAAGATATCTGACAGCTTTGGAGACCAAAATCCTATTCAGTCACAGAACAGGTCAAAGCAACAGGCAGTCGCAAAAAGTAAGATTCCTTGTCATATCAGAAGAGACTTTAATTTTTGTATGTTGCCCCTTGATAAAGTTGTCAACATGAATGCCAACTGCCATGTTGACTAGGAAATGAACAAAGAAAATAATTCGCTGACAACCAGACAGTCCTCAGATGATAATTACTTTATTACTGACTTGTACTAACTTTATAATAATAGCCAATAATAGCAGGAGTGAACCAATAAGAGATTTTTGGGGCTGATACCGATAGCCGATATTTAAGAAGGCATATCAACTGATACCAGTCTGATTTCCAATACAGCTACCTCTAGCTGGTAAGTCTGGTGTGGTGGAAGGGGAGAGGAGAGGGGAGGGGCAGATCAATGGCCCCTGCGGGGAGGGAGAGGGTAGAGGCAGGCACTGCCCAGGCAGGGCGGGGAAGGTGGGGACTGGAGACATGACTCGTGGGAAGAGGGGAGGCTGCTCCCGCTGCTGCTTGTACCCCAGGAGGGCACAGGGGGTGGTGGCCCCCAGATCTACATGGGCTGGGGCAGGGCAGGCTGCAGCCAGAGCTGTGCGGGGCTCTTCTCGGTGGGGCCTGGGTTCGGAGCAGGTGCTGGCGATGCTAGGAGGATACTGCATCCACCACAAATTTTGCTTCCACTCCACCCCCGGCACAGCCCCAGCTCTTCCTGGGACATAGCGGGAGGTGGGGCATTGAGCCAGGGCTGTGCTGAGCGGCTGGCAGCGGCAGCACTGGGAGTGGAGTAGCAGCGAAATTTGAGGTCAATGCAGCATCCTCCCAGTGCCGCTGGTGCCTGCTCCAAGCCCAGCCCTTGCTGATAAGAGCCCCACACAGCCCTGGCTGCAGCCCACCTACAGGCATTTATCAGCCAAATTATCAGCCCCAACGGGCCAATATCCGATATAGCCAGTTTTCTTTATATCAGTACCAATCCAATATCAGATCAATGTATTGGTGAGCCTCGAAATAATACCTCATGATAATTAAGTTAGCTGGAAAACTAGACACAGGAGGAATATCCCATCCTCAATACATACTAGTAACAGTGATAGGAATATATGTAGCTTCTTCTCAGAACAAACAGCAAAGAACTTCAGCATATGCATGAAGAAGTGCATTAGTGACATCATAACAACCTTAACTCAGAGTTTTGTTTGAGAGAAGGAAGCATGACTTACTTTTTAGTACTGTAAAACAAACAACACAAAACTCAATACTAAATGCTTCTCTAACAAATAGTTTTACAGTCTTTCACTTTACTGAATTTGCAATGCTAATGTACACCCCCATAGCAAGCTAATTTCTATGCTAGTTTCTATGCAGTAACACATTCTTGATTCTGAAGTGGCCAACATACATACCTAAATATATCCTGGGTGTCTAAATCAATATGCAGTCCATTGATGAAGAGGGCAGAATCTCCAGGCTGTAATCCTAATGTTCCTTTGAAGTACTGAAGGAAAGCATAACAAAACCATTAGAAAAATGCTACGAACTATACAAAAGTAGTTAAAAAAAAACCTTCCAAAGCATGTATTCTTTAGTAATCAAGTATTACTTTTACTTGCATTGTATATCATTTTAAATTGCAACAAATTAATTCTCCACATCAGCCTTTTTTGGTAACTGAATGCAGCACTCACATATTAAGCTAAAACAACCAATTGTATACAGGATGAGAGGAGAAAGGATTATGGGAGTACAGGATAACCACTTACAAGTATCTACCTTGTAGGAATTATTTAGCATTGAACAGTAAGTTGCACTAGAATAAACCTAAGAGGGAAAATTCAGCTGAGGCAGTCTATTAAATGGGTAGAGACTGGGAACCCAGGAGACCTTAGCTTCTGTTCAAAGATCTGCTATTTATTTGCTCTCTGGAAATCCACCTCTTATGGAGATCAAAAGGGTCTTGAAATAATCAAGAATAAAAATATACTGTGATCAGTAACGTTAACTCTTTAGTTGGCCACCCCACGTCTCACTCCTTCACCGCTGTGGAAGGTAAGGGAGAGTTTTAGGGTGGAGTAGCAAGGTTTAGAATGGGTGAGAATGCTGTCTACAGGCTAGGCATAGGGTACACATCAGGATATAAGCTGGATAACAGGGCAAATTGTAGTCCTGAGGCTGTTTGCAGAGGTGCTGGTGGAATACTGGGCCAGAGGCTTGCTGATATTGAGAACCTGGCTGGCTGCAACACTGGTGAACAAATGAAAGATTAGCAATTACTAACAAGGCCAAGCCACCATGGTAGGCTGGTTGTGGATACCACTTGAACTGGTAAAGAATTTTAGAAATAAGTTTCCCCCAAGTACCTCTGGATGTGATCCAATTAAAATGGGGAAGCATAACCCCATAGATCAAGACACTGCTATAGAGAATAACTGCACTAACAGGAGACTGGAACAGAAAAAGAGTTTGACAGTTAAAAGTTGACTGTAACGTCTTTTCTTTGATCCCAGCATTTAAATTGGGGGGGGAGGGGCAAGCAAAAGAAACCCAACATTTTTCTCTCTTGGTCATGCAGTGGCAGTTCTTGTGTATGACGTCAATAAAAGGTACAATAATAAAGAACATCATTCTAATCACTAGTTGTAGGTATCAAAATTAAATACCATAAAGAGGATAGCTGAACAGAGTTGAAACAAAGTTGCAAAAAGAGGAACAGAAGACTAACTGTTACCCAGCATAAGGAAACTTTGTATAAAACAGAAAGACTTAACATGGGCTTAACACAGTTAAAAAAAATGTTATTGGAGCCTGGCAGAACATAATGCACAAGACTGGATCAGATCTTCTTTGGGATCTCTATTAAGTTAGGGCAATTTGATATTTAATTATTTACAGTAGTAATGGCCACAACCTCACCAAGATGGTGTCTACATAAACAGAAGGGTTAGGTTATGCAAAAGGTGAGCTTTACAGAAACACTGCTAGATCTTCAGCTGTAGCCAAAGCATGCAGAGTTAAAAACAGGGGCAAAGCTATGCCACTTTGTATCGCCTAGATCCTGGGGCCAACTGAAAACTGGCCCACCCTAGCTGGAAATGCTCTCAGGGCTAGTTTAAACTATATGTGACAGTCTACAGATCAAAGAGCTGTTTCAGATGCTAAAAAAATCACCAGATCATAGCAGTGTCTGGAGCAAGCCCCCAAACCACACTCTATTTAATCTATCTCATAGATTTCCTTTCCATAACAGAATCCAGAGGAAGCTTGTTAAGCAGCTTTCTGGCTGCTTCTTACTGCTGGGACATACTTGTCAATTAAATCCATAAATCTGAGAGCTGATCAGATTTCAACGCAGAAAATATCTCCATATAAGTTTGTATTCTTCCTATTTGTGCCATTGTAGAATGTAATCAAGGTACAGGTCTCACACCAAAGGACACTCCTGGTTTCACTACTAATATCACACCTGTGCTCCTTCATCCACCTCGGCAGCTACAAAGAGCACAATTTAGCATATTGTGCAACTGCTAATTGGAGGGGTGTGGTAGAGCACTTTTGGGTGCCTGCCACTTTAAGGCAGAGTCGGGCAGCTCCCAGGTGCCTGATGTCAGCAGCCATTTTGAGAGCAAGGGATATAAAGGCTGCAGTTTGCTGCTGCCAGCCCAGGCAGAAACACTGCCTGGCTGGGCTGCAGCATGAACACCTAGAAGGTAAGAGCAGGAGGGTCCTGGGCATGACCTAAAACTGTGCCATGCCCAGGAAGGGTGGTCTAGTGGGGCAGGAGCCCCCAGGAAATTCCAGACCAGTGACCTCCCTGGTGAAAGGTGGGTTGGGGTGCCTTAACCCCAGCCCCCATCTTTGGGTGGGCTTTGGGGGCTGCTGGAGGCAGTTGTGGGGCCAAGCACAGCGAGCGGTGTGCCACCTGCGCCCAGCAGGGATGTGAGATCCTGGAGACCCTCGAGGGGGTAGTGTGGAGATGTGGGAGTAGTGGGGGCCAGGTATTCATAGAATGCTTGCATGTAGGGTAGTGTGGGGAGCATAGTTGCGTGGCCCCACACAGAGTAGGGCTGAATGGGAGCAGGCCTGAAGGGCTGTGCACGAGGGGGGCTGAGTAGAGCTGACTAAGGAGTAGGCCTGAAGGGCAGTCCCGGGGCCGTGTTGAGTAGGGCTGAACTGGGAGTAAGCCTGAAGGGCAATGCAAGGGCCGGCCCTGCAAGTAATTTCTCATGAAGATGAGAAGACCCAGGGTGGGGTGTGGTGTAGAGGCCCCAGAGGGGGCATAGTAGGAACCCCATGTGTGGGGAAGAGGCCAAGGCATGGTCTTGGATGCCTGAGGCTGTAGTTTGGGTGAGAGGCCGAGTAGGGGACTCTGCCAGAGGGTTAAGGGTGAGTCCTGGCCCTGGTAAGTCCTCTGCTGTGAGGCCAAGAGTGGGACAAAAGGAAGATCTTAAGGGCAAGCACCTGCTGCTCCAGGGAGGGAGGGAGAGTCCCTATGAGACCCTGGAGTACCAGTTGCGGTGTAGGTTCTGATTACATCATGTGGATGCCATTTGCAAGGCATGTACTGCAATGTAGAGGAAGTTAGGAGCTGCAGATAGCACCCCCTGGCACTGGGCCTGGGAACCGGCAACTTCCCGCAGCATACCACTAGCTTTTGGGAACAGCAAAGTTGTGGCAGGTGAGACTGGGCAAACTGCCCCAGAAAGAGGTGAGAGGGCCGGCATGAGACATGACAGGGGGCATACTCGGGGGTCACAACTAGTTTGTGTAATTCCCAGTGCACTATATCAGAAGTCCTTTCCTATTTTTCTACATACACTGAAGTCTATTCAGAAGTACAGATAAGGCTCATGACCACTTTTTGTAACTGCCTATTTAATGTGTTTCTTTAAATAGTACAAACTATACATTTTTTTTTCTCTGTTCACCCTCATACCAATAATGAAGCCATCTGAAATAAAGTGAGGCCCACACTCTCCTCTTCCCCCTGGTAGGGTGGCTATTATGGACTTCTTGAGTCAAAGAAGTAACACGGGTATAGGACTGCTACATGAGAAGAGTCCAACACTTTTTTTCTAAAAGCAGTTCTGGGCAAGTGATATCAGGAGGATTCAAAATGATTCTGTGGTTTCCCTATATAATTTGATCAACTTGTGCACCCAGAAAGTTTTCTAAATGCCAAGTCAAATAAAATTTAATTTTTCTGCCTCTTAAACTCTAAGAAAAAACTCCTTATTTGACTGCCCACAGACCAGCTTTTCTCAAAGATGCACCCCTGTCAACAACCTGCAAGTCTTCCTAGTATAATCTAAAAATAACTAACTAATCAACTGTGAACAGATCCTGAATTCAGATTAGAGAGTGATTAATGTGACTTTATGCTTACAATCTCTTGACCACTGGTAAAAGGTGTTGTAGGGATCAATCCAATGACATTATTCCACAAAGATATCCTCCATTTTCACTTTCTCATTGACACTCTGGATCATAATTATGTATTTGGCCAAAGAAAATTATACTCTTAAACAAATTTTTGAAAAACCAAAACTTTTATACACACTTAGAAGTGTGTATTTACATATTACTAAAAATAAAGAACAAAACTTTTGCTTAAGTTTAAATATTTAAATTGAAAATTACAGTTCAATATTCAAAGTCTACATGAAGTACATGAATGCACTAGTTAGTTATCTGTAGGCATTACCTTTTGGTTCTCTTCAATTTCTGTCCTGATTTCTGAGGAAACGGCTGTCTTAGTTATCGCTCTAAGGAAATAAAAAATAAGTTGTATTTTACAGATGCTGGCAGTTCTCTTTCCATCATCCTCTCTGTTTTGTTAACCTGCTTAAATACATTTGAGTTCCTCAGAGAGAGGAATTTGTCTCATCTGCAATTGGAAAAAACTCGCTTTTGTGCACAACTATGAGGATAGGGCAAAGATCTGATTTCAAGACTATCTGCTATAATTCTATAGGTACATCAGAATAATATAGCATGATCTATCACAAAAAACAACAACTATTTAAAGAAAAGACTACACTAAAACTTAGGAATGCCTGAGATTTAAATTATACACAGTAAATCCAGGTATAAACAGAATGTTACCACTTCCTTGTCTCTATCACTTTGAATTGTAAACTCTTTCAGACCTGGATAACATAACAGGCATCAATTCTGATCAGTTTATGAGCAACATCAGCAAATAACACATTCTTTTTAGCAGCAAGACAAACACTCAAAAACTAGAAAATCCCAGAATTATGGTTGTTCCTGCAACTTTAATTTAGCCTCTCTAAATATGCACTGATGGTTTTGACCAATATCACATGGGGAATCTGTACTAGAGCCAGGAATAGAAACCAACTCTCTTGGATAACAATTTAGTGCCTTAAATAAAAGTAGTCCTTCCTATTTTGTAAGCCTCTGCTTTATTTGTTCTGTGAACAGAACAAACAGCATATAATAATGCAAATAAAGTATCACAATCAATATATTCATTCAAGTATTACAATGAATATCCTCAAGGAGACTGAATAACAACAGGTTCTGGTATGCAATAGACAGATTTTGTCTCCTAAGGTAAGGATGAGATTATGATCCATAAAAAAGCTGTAAAGTACATAGTTAACATCTGTCAGTGAAAGAAGGAAATGACTACAGCTCAAAGTTTCCTCCTTTCCCTTAAATATGCTACTATTTGGTTAAAGAGCTGTAGCACCATCATCCCTACCATCCAAATCATAAGACTTCTTAAAGGAAAAGTCACTTCACACTGATCAGTGAAAACATGACCACAACCTTTTTTAATTCTCCCATCAGTCAAAAGAGGGATGTGACCTTTCTCCTGACTTTCGTTAATGTTCCGTTTTGCAATTGGTCATCTCCATCACCAGATGTGCTCCATTCGCCACTAATTCTAAAGCAGGGGTGTCAAAGATACAGCCCACAGAGCCCTATCAGCTGGCCCCTAGTGCTGCCTGTGGGTCTCAGAGTTGATCCAGAGGCAACATGTGGTGTGTGCTGAATAGTCCTACATGTGGCACCTGCTCCAGTATATGTCAGGTCCATGGTGGATCCAGCAGTGCATCCTTGAGCAGCCGCCATGCACAGTGCAGCCTCAGAGCAGCTGGAACAGGCCTGCACTGCACATATGGTGTGCTCCAGCTGCACCAGGACAAACTGGATCTGGCATGTGGGGCCCATCTGTGGGTCCAATCTGGATTGCAGACTTGCCCCACAGGGCTGAATTAATTTTATACCCCTGTTGTAAAGCAATGCCCCTCAAGCAGTGAGAGCTGCAGCAAAAGTCTAGTATGCATTTTAGGACTACAAAGGGAAACCACTTCAGAAGAAAGCCTTCGGATCTGTCCAGGAACATAAGTCAGGCAGGTGACCTCGGAGTTCCAATGGTCAGCTTTGGCTTCCACTAAATGGCAACAGAGCACTCTCTTCCATTCTCTTCCTGCAGATCTTATCATGGATTAGGTTCAAGGGAGTGTATCAAGAGAAATGCTCTCTTGCTTGCCTCCAGTTAAGACTGACCCAAATATTAAGAAGGCCCTCAAGCAGTGCAAACACAAGAACAAGTTTAGAATAGTTATTACATAGGAAAAATTCCCAATTTTCTGTAACAAATTACCTGGCCTTTGTAGGAAAGTTCTGGCTAAGATCTTTCATAACCATCAAGGCATCCACAGTCGGAGCAGCTAAGATGCGGGCAGCAGTTTGAAAACTTAAATCTAAAAATTAAAATGGTTAAGTAAAGGAGCAGAAATTGAAAATAGCTCAGTGAATGTATTTAAAGGAAAACCATACAGTTGTTAACTTAGCCAAGAAAGAAAGCCTGGGACATAAAACTCCCTAATCTTCAAAGCTTCATTTTCTTTACATCTGATTTTGGGTATGGACAAACATATTTGTAGCCACTTAAAAGACGGCAAGGGAAGCTCCTGCTTCTTTGGAGCATACAGCAGATGTTATACTGTAACTGTACATGTGCATGAACTTGCAGTAATACAAGGGAACTACATCTCCATAACTTTGATCCCAGAGGAAAACATGTTTAAAGCTGGAATAATTTTGTTACAGTTGTATCACTACAGAATCAAACCTAGACCATCAGTGGCATCCTAACAGCTTCTATCAGTATTGTCTGACAATGGTAAGAATTGTTACATCTGTCTATACCCTTAGAGATTTGTTTCTGTCGTCTTCCAGATTTACAGCCATTGTTAGCCATTCCCGTATAACTGATGTCTTTAAACCAAACCTCTGCAGATAGCTCCATGGAGCTATTCACTGTGCACATGTGGAACTTTAGCTACATCAGGCTGAATAAGTCTCTTTTATGGCATTATCTGCTTGTTTCACTGGTTAAGGACCCAAACAAGCAATAGGTTTAAAAAGATATTCATTTCCTATTTATCATTAGTTCTATTTTGCTTGTTTTCAAAAGAAGTGGATAGCTGACTCAGCTATCAAAAACCCAGGAAATGTTAACACTTTAAACAACAAGGCATTTACACTGGGGCAAAAAAGAAGAAAAATCATTCATGTTTTATCAAAAACAACATACTAACTTACAGGATTGTTCTCTTGAGTGCAACAGAAAGACTCTAAAAGCCTTTCAGGATGGGAGTCCTAAATTCACTCTACTTATGAGTTAGCTACATTACTTCCCAGAAGATAGATGTTATCACAATAGGAATTGACAATATTCAGCATTACATAGGACTGAGTCCCTGGCCATGTATCCTTAACTACTATGCATAATCATTACCAATGAAAGTAGTTCCATTTTATTCAGTGAAACTCTTTACATGTATGCCATGACTACAGTCGGGCGGGGTGGGGGGTCAGGTCACACTAAAATAGGTACAGGTGGGACAAAAGACATGGAGCTCAAGATAAATATCCTGAACCTAGTTCATTCATAGTCTTAAGAAAACCACTAAGGTAGGGAAATGCTCTGTCTTCCTCATTGCGTTTTCTGTTCTTTGCATATACTCCAAGCTGTCATCCTGCATTGCAAGATATAGGCAAGGGTGCTAATCATCAAGAAAGCTTGCGTATTAGCAACAGCACTGTACAGAAAGTAAGCTTCATGGATCCTCTAGATCAGTAATTCTCAACCAGGGCGCGGGACAGCCTGGGGTGCCTTGAGATCCTTCCAAGGGTGCCACAGGGTGTTGCACAATGTTAGTACTGTTAGGTGCCCAAACATGATTCACAAGATAAAGCCACTGATCTCAAATAGAAACCCATAGTGTTAAAAACATTCTGACATGTTCTGACCTTTCTGAGTTCTTTGTGGCCAAAGAATTGCTCTATTATTTTTCTGTAGTCAAAAAACAAAATGAAAACTAAGAGCTGGCATTTTCCAAGGGGTGCCTCAAATCCATTTAAGGATGCTTTGAGTCTAAAAAGGTCAAAAAACATTGCTCTACCTGGTGTAGAGTGTTTTTAAGAATGACTTCTATTAAGATTTCCCAAGGAACTTAGACTGGAAACTGCTGGATTTATAACAATTTACGGTAAGGTATACCCTGACATAAGCAAGCATCAGTTGTACTGAGAGAATAAGGATGTGTTTTAATATAAATGTAATTTCACCATGAATTAGAAGAAGCTCCCACAGATTACCTTGTAGTTGCCATACTTTTAAAGGTGCCATTTCATTGGTACTTTCAACAAGATGCTTTCGGAGCTCTTTTAGCTCTTCCTTCAATTCAGGATACAACTGCCTGAAAGGAAGAACACAATTGCTGTGGAAATTGGAGAGGAAAGTGAAAGTAATGATGCTGTTATTACATGGAGACTGCTTTGGTCTTCCTCTTAGACCCCTTCAACCATGTGAGTATACTGTTAAAACTTCAAATCTAAGTGTATGTCTACATGGCACAGAGCACTATTGTGTGGAGAAACCCAAGGTAGTTCAAGTACAGGAAGCAGAACAGCAGTGCTCCACTAGGCATATGCAACTGTGCTCCATGCAATAACTTTTCTAACTGCCACATGTCTACTATCACAGCTTCGTGCCTTGTAGATATCCAAATACAGACAACCAATACGGACAACTAAAGACAAAGAAATTTCATAGAACAGATTTTTACTATGAAAAACACTTTACCTTAGTTTTCCAAAAAGAAATCCTTGTACTTCATCAATTGGGTCATTTTCATCTATCACGGTAGCATTCATATCTGTGCCTATAAACACATGGCAAATACCACTGTTACTGCATTATGCCTAAGGCAGTTTTTTATCGACATACTGTATTTTTGCTAATGCTACAAAATAGCATCAAGAAATAATACCTTCTCAGTGCTTATACTGAACCCGCGCTTTTAGATCTCATTGAGAACTTACTCTTCTCTACCCCCAAATCTTCTTACCCAGGGAGACATGACTCAAGAACAGAAGAAAAGAGATAATCATAAGGAGGATGAGTAAGAATAAGGAAATCCAGGTATAGCAGATTCACTAAGGCCACATTTTTTTCAGTAAACAGGTAACATAGATCAGTTCTCCCATGGTCCAGTTTTAACAAGTGGTAAAAACCACCACATCATAACACTTTAAAGATTATTTTTATCTTCCTGCAGACTGTATTATCTTGTTTTTTCTTTGAAGAAAAAGGTCTCTAACCCTTCTGACTGCGAAAGTAGTTTCTACTCTATAAACGAGTGCATAGGAGTCTTGCTGAAGTTGCCATGACAAACTAACAGAATTCTTCACACATTAACAAGAGAAGCTGCCTAAATTAGCTTGAGTCAAATACTGCAGTGTGCCTGTTATTTTCAAAACCATAACTAGTAATCTACCTGAATGAACTTCACTCAATCTAGAATAGTTTAAAGGATTACTTCTGCAAATGGCAAAACATTTTAAAAGAAAAGTATCAGATCACAAAGCCTACAGCACCTGGTATGAAGTGTATACAGTGAGCTAAATCCACTATATAAAAAATGTAAACAACGTAGCCACTGCTATTCCACTGAGTTTACAGTTCACCAAAACCAACAATCACAAAATTAAGTTCAAAGTATAAGTGAGAACAAGTTCACATTAGCAGTAGGACAGTAAGACCTGCTTTCACTAGTAGAAAATGTTTCTGGAATTGCAGTAACATCTTTTGAGTTTTCTGAGCAAGCCTGGAACCAGAGAATATGTTCTATAAAATACATGCACACACACTTTGATTTTTAAACTAAGATGAAATTGAACCAGTCTCTATACTATTTCCTGAAAGAGGAAATAGCTGGATTCTTGCTGCTCTGGAAATGATATTAGGCCATAAATGTGAAATACACCAGTCTCCCCCTCCCTGGATGGAAGAAGCATGCAAGGCTAACTGAGGAAACATTCTGCTTTAAAGAGGAACGAGAAGGGGAGAAAAGAAAATGAAATGCTTGGTGCTGCTCAACAGTCTAGCTATCTTAAAGAATCAGTGATGTCATCACCAGGATAAAAAGCCCTAATCAGTAGGGCTGTGCGAAACAGCACCGTTCTGTTTCGACTTGCGTTTCAACATTTCGACAGAACAGCATTTCGTTTCGAATTTCGTTTAGATTCAAAACTGCTGCTCCGTTTCGTTTCGTCGAAAGTTTTGTTGTTTCAACACTGTTTCCATGTTTCATCCATAGGCTATAAAGGGGAAGCTCAAAACAGCCTATAACTTTGTCATTTCTGGCCTGATTTGGATGAAACTTGCAGGAATGACAGCCCCTGCTGAAGCCACAAACCCTGCCAAGTTTCAAGGAGATAGGTGCAGGGGTTTTGGGGAAACTGAACCTCAAACTGCGGACAAGCAAAACTTGTGACCTGGATGACACTGTGCGTGTTAAGACGCAGCAGGGTGAAAGCTGCAGGCCTGCTAGCCCCTGCGGAGGCCATGAAGCCTGCCAGCTGTCAAGTATATAGGTACAGGGGCTTCTGGGTTCTGGGACCCTGCACCTCTGGCTGCTGACAGGCAAAACTGAAACACACCACTCAGTAACTGGCACCAAGGCAGAAAGCAGGGCAGTACAAACAATGCTGCTTTTTATGCAGTTTTTCCATCCCTCCCCCAGAGCACTGGGATTGGAAGAGACCTCAGGGAAGGATGACAGTCACTGGCTAGCTACACAGTCAATAATGAGAACACTCTTCCCCCCCAACCCTTCCCCCTCCCTCTCCTTACTTTAATTTCTGTTTCCCTGCAGGCAAGCCCAGCTTGAGCTTCGAAACTCGAAACATTTAAAAAATGTCAAAACGTTTCAACTTGTTTCATTTCGTTTCGAGATTGTTTCGAAGCTCTCTGTTTCATTTTGATTTCACTGTTTTGAGCTCGAAACAAATCTAAACAGTGTCAAAACGAAACTGCCAGCGAAATTTCGCACAGTCCTACTAATCAGGGACCAGGAACTCATCAGGCAAGGCACTGTGCAAAATACAAAAAGAGTCTCTCTGCCCCAAAGAGTTTGCAGGTATCTATATGCTCTGAAGGAAAACTAATTCTACTCCAAAACTGAAGAATGAGAAGTGAATGGAGAGCAGAGAGGAGGATATTATGGTCTTCAGATCTCCAAGTGGGAGGAACTAGAACACCATTCTCTCTCCTCTGGAAGGATGATTTCTCATGTGAGTGTAACTCAAATTATTTTTATATAAAATTCTTATTTTTTGGTAAGAATTCACCTTTCACCTGGGTATCGTCCTTGGACTTATATTCTGTGCTTTTAATAGCCAGCTCCACGCCATAACCCGAGAGGTAGACTTTTTCTTTACTTGGATTCTGTAAGAAGATATAAAAGCATAATCAACTCGTGTATCTTGGTATAGATGTACAGCCCATTCAAACTAGCCTCGTACTGGCATATATTAAAGTAACTTGAGTCAAAGTGTCCATGTTTGTTATTTTAGAATTCAAACACAATTAGCAGAATGAAACACAAATATGAGAATGAAATACTACAAAAATGGTCAGATCAATTAACATTTCCGACTACAAAACCTATATTAAATATATTTTAATTTGACTAGGCTTTGGGGGGGGGGGTGCATGCTAGGCTTTTAAGTGTGTGTGTTCCTAGTTTGTTCCTACTACTAGGAAGTAGTATGACTAGGCTTTTAAGTGTGTGTGTGTGTGTGTGTGTGTGTGCGCGCGCGCATGCTCACACACATGCGCCCACACTCTATATTGTATATAAATGTGTGTGTGTGTATATAAACCAAGTGACAATGAGCATGATTCTCTGTATAAAATACTTAATTCTGGAAGTAAATTATTTTGCACATGACAGTTCCAATTCCAGGCAGTTTTGTGAATTAAAAAAGAAAAAGCAAGACAATGATATTATTCTTTTTGCTGTATTTCCTGAAAGTACCAACATGGCCAAAATTAAGCTGACACTTTTCCAAGTGATACACTTAAGCTTTTTTCAATACACAGTCGCATTATAAGGAAGAACAAGTAAATAGATCAAAACTCCTTTCAGGCACCACAATGCAGAGTGAAACACTCATTCTGCGGTTCTCCTATTTATGCTCCAGTACTGAAAGCGCAGTTTGGGCACAGCAGAAGATATCAAGGGTCAGATCATATTAAGGCTGGTAAACCGTTCAGAAATAGGATCTAATCCTGGTCCTATGTAGAAGGAATGGTCCCCATTTGAAAACACTACCCCTTCTTCCACCCAGTTACATGACAAGTGTTTTGTATTTTAACAGGCATTTAAATACAGGATAAGAAAAGGAACTCTCTCCTAGTAATTCAACTGATCTAAGCAATTTTAATCATTTAATTATACAGATAGGTCAAAGTGTAGAAATCCTATTTAAATACCAAATTTAACACACAGAAAGTTGCTATGACAAATTTGGAAAACATGCACCAAAAGCAGACAAGGTTCCTTGGGTGAATTTGATATCTTTTATTAGACCAACCCAAATAGTTGGAGAATAATTATTAAGCAAGCTTTCGTGCTCTTCACACACCAACTGCTGAAACTTCCTTAGCCTGACGAAGGGTTTTTGAACCCGAAAGCTTGCTTAATAACTATTCTCCAACTCTTTGGGTTGGTCTAATAAAAGATATCAAATTCACCCAAGGAACCTTGTCTGCCTATGTCCTTAGACCAACATGGCTAAAACCTACACCCCTGCACCAAAAGTCAGCATTTAATATACACACTCGGGTGTCTCTAAAGTTAGTCAGGCCAAATATTTAAGTAGGTCCAATTTTACACACCATTTTTTTTAAATCTTAGCCAGGGGTTATTTCTATGCCAAAGATAACAGTTCAAAATAGTAGCAATACTTACAGCAACATAGTGTCTGAGGACATAAGTTATTTCTCCTGCCTTTGCTTTTGATACAAGCCAGTTGTGCAATCTGGAAAACTCCTCAGATCCTATCTCAGCATACAGTATGACAGTAGGACTCTCATAGTTTGATACTGGGTACTTGTGATCGCCTTTGAACAAAAAAGGCTTCGGCCTAGGAACAAATATTGAGAATAATGAAGCTGTATTTCCTCTTTCAAGTAAAAGACGTATAAAAAAAAAAATCTCTTTTCACTTTGTGTAGCTGTTAGGCTAATTTCTGCAGTGCAGTTTCAAATGACTACTCATTATGCTTGTCAGCACTTGGTTCACAAGGGCAAAACTTGGTAAAAATGAAACTCAGGTTTCCAGCTCTAAAACTACAAAACAGCATCTAATCATGATTCTTGTTTAAATGAGTGACTACTTCCCTAATGTTTTAAATGAACTCTCCTTTTTAGTGAGGTACAAGTCTGAGCTGAAAAATAAAGAACCATATTTTCTTGCGTGCCACTCATCCCCAAAGAAGACACGCACCTTGCTTTTCGAAAATGGAATGAAGAAAAAAAGATCTTTCCTTGAAAATACCAGTAAAGGTAATATTTTTGCAAGGAAAAAAAAGACAGTTGTGGGGGGAGTAGGCAGGCCTATGGCTGTTTTGTTAAACCCCTAGCTGCAGAATACAGTGCCTACCCAGCTCAAGATGTGGGGTTGGGCAGTTTAGTTCCAGAAAGATCAGGCCCTTGGCTGAAGCCACTGGTTAAACCAAACTGCCTGGCCCTACTTCTTAGCTGACCTGGCCACATGGGCAGCCACTGCTGGCTGCCCATATGGCTCAAAGTAGGGCTGAGCAGTTAAGTTTCCATAAGGTCAGGCCCTCTGCTCCCTGAATTTCCTCATTAAAGACATACACCACAATTTCCAGCAACTCCTCTTGTGGGGGGAAAGGAGCAAATCATATGCAAGGAAACGTGGCAATATCACATCACTGAAGGGACAACGCTAACTTTGGATAGGCTTTATAAATCTTTTAAAATCTTACCACTACTATAATTTAAGATTAAAAATATTCCCAAGAAGGATTTGCCACCGGAAAACAACAGCAAAACGGCATGAAAAAAATGAACTAAGAATTAACCCTTGCTTACAAAAATAAAACTACAAAGAATGGCCGAGGGCAATCTTAATTTGATACGGTGTGACATTTTGTAAAGCCTGTCCTTTTGTTACTAATTTTTACTATCAATTTAAACTTTGTTCTTTCCTTGCTTCAACAGATTAGTTATGAGCAGGGATCCTGGTTTTCTCCACTTAAAAAAAAATCCCCAGTTTTCAGATTTAAAAAAGTACCCCCAAATCCACATTTTTTTGCAATTAAAATGCACCATACAGTGTAGATTTGGGGTTACTTTTTTTAATTTGAAAATGGAGATTTTTTTTAACAGAGAAAACCAGGATTCCTGCTAACCTACATTGTATATACTTTTTGGATTTAAAAAAGTAATCCAAGATCCAAATTTTTCCATGATTAAAATGAAGTGCCCCGATATCTATCTGTCAAGAAAAAAAGAGATATTGGGGCACTTCATTTTAATCACAGGAAAATGTGGATTTTGGATTACTTTTTTAAACCAGAAAATTGGGGATTTTTTTTTAACAGAGAAAACCAAGATCCCTGGTTATGAGGCAAAATAAAGTTTAAGATTTCCTATTGCACATCTGACAACTGTGTGTCATTTGCAAATATGTTAAAAGGAAGTAAAGGTTCAAATATTCATCAGCGTCTGCTCTTACATTATGTTACTGTGGACTTGAAAATACATACCACTTGTATTATAAATCACTAAAATATGTCATGCAAGTGTTTTGTGTCTCCAAATTTACTGTCCTAAGCAAACAGTTTGATAGTGCTGGCTCTTATATACAGTCTAAATAACTATGTAAAAAAAGTAGTGTACTTATATTTTATATTTAAAGGATTAGCATCATACTACACTGACACGCCAATATGCAGGAATATAGATACTGCAGACAGATTCCAACAGAAACCAACATCATTCAATGCAGATATAAACCCTCTAAACAGACAGTGCAATAGGGACTACCCATTGGGAATTGTTCACCAGAAGCAGAAAGTTATCTAAAATAGCATCTCATATTTTTGTAATGTTGCCAGCAGCCTGCCCCACAATTAAATCACGTTAGAAGCACTTCACAGCACAGCCACGTCGCTCTTAGTTGGTTAAAATCCAGTTAGTTGTTTATAATCCAGGTAAAGAATTATCTATACTATTTTTTTTCTTCATTATTCTAACACTGGATGCTGTGATTAGTTATATTAGTTTTTCTAAATTCTCTAAAAACTTGTATCCCAATACAATACTTGAATCCCAGCCTTGTAATAGCAAGCTCCAAAAGTTCAAAACATATTTTGCAGATAAAAATCTTACTAGATTTAAGTTTCCCTTTGTCTCTATTAACTTCGTTCAGTGTAAATGAACAATCTGACTGCTCCTTTCTAGATAGTGCTGGGCCATGATATAGTTCAGGAAAAATCCACAGTAAAGATTTTTGTGGCTGATATCTCTTATTGGACCATCTGTATAGTAGGGTTTTGTGAAGCTTCAGTAGCCAATTCAATTCAGAGGTGATTCAGCAGCTGAATCTGAATCTAATCAGGAGACCCATTAATCTATCCGAATCGAATCAGAAGCCTCCAAATCAATTTGGAGAAATTCAGAGATTCGGCCATAGACTGTATAAGCAGGCACTAGGCAGTGCTGGCTCAAGCCGCGGCTCGTCCGGCTGCCCCTCTGCCGGGACAAGGCATGCAGTGCTGGCAGCCCCGGGAGAAGCTGCAGGGGCTGGGGGGAATGATTGGGAGCAGGGGGATCAAACCAGGAGCTGGGGGGAAGATGCTGTTTGTTCCCCCAGCCCCTGATTATTCCCCCCCAGCTCCCGGTTCAATCCCTCAGCACCCCGATCATTCCCCCCAACCCCTGTGGCTTCTCCTAGGGCTGCCAGCACTGCCTGCCTTGCCCCAGCAGGGGGGCAGCCAAAGGAGCTGTGGCTTCTCCTGGGGCTGCCGGCTCAAGCCCACAGGCAATGCCTACCTATACAGTCTATGGCCAAATAATATTCGGCACTGAATATCTTCAGATTCAGTTTCAGACTAATCAAATTGGGACAGTGATTCGAATCGCCAAATCCAAAGCGAATACTTTCTGCTTTGCATGGGCCTACTGTATAGTTGGGAGGAATATTAGTGAACTTTTGGGTACCACTGTAAAAAAGGTACAGTGGTACACAAAAGTCCCGTATATCTCCTCAAGTTTATACAGTTGGGTCTGACAAGATCTCACCCACTTGAGATCTCACCCACTTGAGCAAAAATCCTTGCTCATTTCTGGGTCATTCATTAGCTTCTATCATCTCAGAAATTTAGCTACTCTTTATTAAACAATCTGGATCTTTTTAACCTCTCTGCCTATTGTAGTTTCTTTACATGTCTGAGAATTACTGTTACCTTTCTGCTGACCCTCTCCATTTCTCTTAAGATGTTTTAAGACATCCCTGCTTTCTAATACATTTGAGGAGAGACAGGATAAAATATAAATCCTGGTTATACAGCAGAAAAGTTGCAGATAGGTATTTAAAGAAAGGGAAATATAGATTGGAATCAAAGAGTATAGCAAGTAGGAATGCATTAAAGTGTCTATACCTCAAACTTAGGAACATTACAGATTTGGTTCATTCTAATAATTCAAATAAAGGGATACCTCTTTGAAGCTGTCTGTAAAAGGTTTTCAAGAGTGTTAAATTCACAAGTCTTCTCCCCATGCACAGCAAAAAATGAGCTACAACCCTCTGGTGGAGGTTCATCTGCTGCAATCTGAATTAAAATATACCTCTGTTATAACACAGTTTTTTTAAATTATGTACAATGTAGTTATTTCTATTATATTTTACTCTTTTAACAAAAGTTAACAAAGCGAAACTGAAAGCAATGGGATTTGGGGATGCAATAATAATATTCCCAAACTAGGATTCATTTCACTGTAATTTTTTTATTATTATTAACCATCTTAAAAAATAAATAAATGCAAAAGCAATTGGCAAGTAATTTAGGAATGCTTAAATACCAATAGTACTGTATTTAAAGTAAAGATACTTTTTACCCCTTTAAAAAAAAAATGCTTCTCTTTTTCTTGTAATATTTATAAAGAATGCTGCATGTACAAACACTTTATGATTACACTCCACACAGTCACCCTCTAAATGTGGGCATACAGTCATAACACTCTACGTGGGAAGAAAAACTTGTAAAAATAGAGCACAATTCTACCACAACTAAGATACAGAACAGATCATAAAGTATACCAAACTATAAAATGCACCATTCAAAAAAATTAAAATACAATTTATTTCCATCTAAGAAGACTGGTAGCTGAAGTTATATATCCCTGGACTATTATATACAATTTCAAAATAGTACAGCTAAGGAAGTAGCAGGTTTGACACATACTATGTAAGTTAAAGATGACCAATTCTCAACAACAATGATTTTGATTCAAATACCATTTAAGTTTGCTAAGCAACATCTGCCTCTCTATCTATTCCATCATTTACAAACCCAAATATTTTTTTAAAGAAGTTAGCCTTTAGATACCACAATGAAAATAACCAAAAAATTCTGCAAGTCAAATGTTCTGCAAGTCTACTGTAATAAAGCAAGTTGTTTTATGAACATTATAGAGACTTTTCAATGTGAAGGTTCTTCAAGCAATGTTTCTGGGTCCTCCAAACCCTACTGGTATGTTCAGCAGAACAGATTTTACAACACAGTTTTTTAAAATGAAGCAGCAGGAAATGTTTTAATCCTTCTGAACAAATCTGAAAGCTAGAAAAGTTAAACGTTTAGTCTTCGCAGGTTTCCATATGTGCAACCTTACCAACATAATGTTTAAAGACAAGTAGCTTAATTGGCTTCATACCTCAAAAGTAATTTTAATTTTCAGTGCCAGTGAGGGTTTGATTAGAATTCAGAACACAGGCATGTACTACAGTGAAAACAAGGTGTTAAAATACCTTGTTCTTTTTATGGTCTGAGCCACAAATTTTAAATATGTGGAGGTTTTTTCACAAAATAACTCCATATACATCAACAGCTGCAAGGGATACTATAATTATATACAGCACATATCTTTAAGGCCTATGATTCTGCAACCTGCTCTACAGAACAGAGCTCAAAGTGGGATCTGACTGCATGGAACAGCTTTCAGGTCCAAGGCCTTTGCGACCTCATAAGAAATGCCAGAGTATTAACTTCTATCCTGGATCCCATGGAAGATCCTAAAGCCGTGGAATGATTTCCATTGGTCCATACAAACCTGTTGAAAAGCTTGGACGGTAGCAGAATAAGAACGCAGAGACAAGGAAAACTTCAGTAAGTTCTTCTGCAGAGGTGACAGATTCTGGCTGGCTATTTTCAGCATTGCATGATAGGAAGAATAATTATTCCCTGTGAAGCCAGAGCACAAGCCATTAGCTTTCCACGCTATACTCTTACAGTTAAAAGCCACACTCGTACAGTTGTAATTTCCACTAAATGGACCGTTAATACAGCTAATTTGTAAACCTAAAGCCTTCTTCCCTCCATTTTTGTTCGAGCCCAATGCTAGAATTGGATCTGCATTAACTTCAGTGAACACTGTCAGCATACGAGGATTTGTATGAATGCAACTGTATTGTGTCCCCAAGTGTGAGGATTGAGGAATTGCACTTAAAAAGCTCCCGTTTACTTACTAATTATAACATGGGAACTGTGTTCTCAAAAAAACACAGAGGGAGGGAAAGAAACCATTTACAATGTTTTTATATTTGATGGTATGATACAAGCCAACAAAGAAAAAGCATAGTTCTGGATTGTATGCTGGTTTGTATCAATTATACAGTTAAGTACTCTCTTCAAATTGTGATTTGAAAGGTGTTCAGACAGAATTCCAATTTTGTTATTGCAGCCACAGTAAAACAAGAGATTTTACTTATTTATTATTCATGGTGATTAACCTTAAGCAAAAACAAAGTTACAAAGGTTACCTCCATGACTTGATGATCTAATATCTTGACTAGTTTCAACAAAACTCCAGAATTTCTCTTGACTTTCTTCTGATAAAAATTCACTGATGAGAAAGGGGGGAAAAAGGAGGAAAGAACACCTTTAGGAGACAGATAATTTTATTACATTTTCCCTCAAATTAAAATACGAAAAATTTTACCAAGCTCTTTCATGTACATAATCCCTTTGATACAGTTGCCAATGTCAGGAAACCTAGCTTAATTACCAGAAAAGAAGCTGAACCAAAAACAGTTGCAGGTCAGGACAAATGTCTGTTAAAAGATCACAGAGGTAAAGCTTAAAGGCACTTACTATTAACCCTGCCAATCCATGAACACTACAAGCACAGATGTATGTATGTAGACATTTTCTTCTGTCCCTCATTGCTAGCTAAGAAATATATTTATGGGAAAGACATTTATGCAGTGAATTACAGCACTATTATGTGAATGCTTAATGTTAAATAGTTAGATACCGTCCCTTTTAAAATAATTTTTGAGAGAAAAGGGCGTGGTTTGCACATAAATTTATGTATTATTTTACAGGGTCGTGGTATCACAAAGTTTGAGAACCTCTGTTCTAGGGTAAGAAAAAGTAGTTAATAATTGGCCATCAGAAAACTTTTTGGTTGGTGTACTCCCAGCGGCTGGTCAACGAGTGGAGGGTGTTGGAGGGGGTAAAGTGGAAGTCCCGGCAGCAGTGGAAGTGGCATGAAGTGCTAGATGGCAGTGGCAGCCCCGCTGGGGAGAGATGAGAAATTTGCGACCCCATTTTAAGTTGCCTGCGATCCCTAGTTTGAAAACCTCTGCCCTAGAACAAGCAAATATGGAAGCTAATTTTTCTCCCACACCAGGCTCCTGGATCTATACCCCTCCCTATGTTACTTCTTTGGATTAATTTCAGAGATAAATAGCTCCACTGCAGTAGTAGTACACTCAAACTGACTGAACTCTTGTTTATTTTAAGGTCTGCTTGTAGCTGGGTTCTTAGTGGCAGCAAGAGAGACAGAAGATTGGTCAGTTGTCACTTTACTGTACTTTGGCACAGTTGTGGGCAGGACATGGGACACTTGATTTATTGTCTGAATATTCCCAGTGAGCTCTACATCAGAGAGGAAATGGTGTTCAGAAAATCTGGTCATGACAAAGGATTACTTTTATTTTTCTCCAAATTAAAGCTCATCTTCCAAACAAATTGATAGGATTTCCTGAGCAAGAGCTTTCTTCTCTGCATGGACCAAAAGGGAGCTGATCATTAAGATACAAATACTGCTCAAAGACTCTAAAGAAGTCTTTGAGAAATCTTGTCATTTGCTGGTTGCACAGATTCGGTCTGCTGAAAATCCCAGTATAGGCAACCTATACCACTCCTATGGAATCAGAGAATGTGACAAGCATCATCTCAAAGATGATGGTTGCTGGTGTGCTGGGTTTTGTAGCTTCTAAAAATAACTGCACTGTACATGCATAGGCCTTAATGTGCCATTTTTAGTCATTCTCCTACCATTATAGCTCTCAATATAGCTGAACTTTGAATACTTGGAATAGCCACTTACAAGTACATAAATACAGTACAGTATACACTAAACCAGAACTTGAATCTATTGGAAACATTTTAAGCCTTATCTATGCTAGAATTCCCACTGATGCCATGGGGTTACATCTGGTAGTTAAAATGACAGGAATGATCAGAACTTTGTATACTAGGGTTACATCAGCCATTAACTATAGTTCAAGCTAATCAGTGAAAGCATCAAAAG